TTTAAATATAGCCGGCAACTATCATTATAGGGGCGAATGTTAGTTTATGCTAATCCACGAATGCCCTGGTTAACTTCTCATTTATTCCCAAACAGATCCTTCCACATGCATTTTAAAATTGTAGTTTCTGTTCAAATTAATGATTGTTCGATGTTTTAGTTTTTATTTGTTTTCGCCCTTCATCGTTCATTTACTGGTTAAGTTGTATTCATCACAAATGTAAAGCCACTCCTTATATAAATATAAGATAATCAACGAATGCCTAGCTAACTTAACTTATAGCCCAAGTGGATCCTATTCCAGGCATTTCCAAATTTGTAGTTTCTGTTCAAATTGATGGATGGCCGTTGTTTCGGATTTTATTTATTGTATTTATTGTCAATGTTGGGACATTCTTTAAACATATATAAATATAACGTTTTAATGGCTTTCGTACACGATCACTTAATAAAATTATAAAGAATTAAAATTAATTTTTTTTTCTGATTTTCAATTCAACCAGCTGACTGATATCGACAATTAATTGCTGGGTACTTTATGAACCTTGTGAACCTAGTGTAATAATTTCAGTTTGTAATGTGCCACAGCGCGCTTAAATATAATAAATATTTTCACTACAAATGCAACGTGTGAAAATGCTTTTCAGGACAATTATATTCTAATAAGTGTTGGCCACGCGTACGTTTCGTGATAAAAACAATTTGTAATTTTATTTAAAGAAAAAAAAATCATTTAATTCTAAGACCTTTTTAAAGAAATGAAAAATTTTGACAAAAATGTATGAAAAATTATTGTAATAATTCCTATTATATATTAAAAATAATTTTTTTAAATGTAACGGATCATGACTAATTTTATAATTCTTCATGCATCCATAACTTAATTATTACCTAGCAACTTAATTATATTTGATACAGTTGATAAGAACTTTGAACTAATAAGCCGTTGCAGCAGTGTTACTTTACAACACTGATATATCACTATTATAAAGCCAGCGGTAATTGAAGGTAACACTGCCACGATGATTTGGTCACTCTAATCAGCATATTGATTTTATTTTCCTGAAAATTAAAGATTCCAATACGTACACACCAGCTGAAAGGCCGAACAAGTCTCAATATTTAGATGCAATTAGTGCCGAGGCGGACATAAATCCTCGACATGGGTGACAACGAACAGAAGGCGCTCCAGCTAATGGCCGAGGCGGAGAAGAAGTTGACTCAACAAAAGGGTTTTCTGGGATCGCTATTCGGGTTCGTATATGCAAAATTTCGCAATGGAGGGGTGGGGAAGTAAACGGGCTTTGTTCCTGGTCTAGCTTTCTATTTCCACATTTTCTGTTGCTCCAGATGCTATACTAAATAGTACAATGACCGTTCCAATATATTTACTATAGTACCTTACACCTACTCACGATAATACGTATACGTAGATGTTTACTCTACGCCTCCACTAAGAAAAGAAAATAAGGCAAAAGTAAACTGATAATAAATTTGAGATATGTATTACATGAAATATGCAAAATATTGATAAGCAAGCCCAGTTAAGGCCTGCATGTATTGGCATTGGTTAAAATATACGCATGAGCTTACTCCCACATTGTTTATGATGAATCATAGTGTTCAAAAGTCAACTATCAAAAACAAAGTGGGATAAAAGAAATCGATATAGACATTAAAATTTAAAATGGATTTGATTTCATGCCGGTAAACACAACAATAACTTTCCAGAATATGATTTGAAAAATGAAATATTTTCTTATTCTTTGAAACATTATTGTTATGAAAAACTCTTTAAATGGTATTTGAAACTACATTATACAAAAAAATCTTTTTTTTTGTAAACATGTATATATGGACCTTACTTCACATTTTACGCTAGTTGAAATATTTATTTTTGTATTTATGCAATATTTTAGCGGCTCCAACAAGGTGGAGGACGCCATCGAATGCTACCAAAGGGCGGGCAACATGTTCAAGATGTCCAAGAACTGGACAAAGGCCGGCGAGTGCTTCTGCGAGGCGGCTACACTTCATGCCCGGGCTGGAAGCCGGCACGATGCCGGAACCTGCTACGTGGACGCCTCCAACTGCTACAAAAAGGTGGACGTGGAGAGCGCCGTCAATTGTCTGATGAAGTCCATCGACATCTACACGGATATGGGCCGCTTCACGATGGCCGCCAAACATCACCAGAGCATCGCCGAGATGTACGAAAGTGATCCCAATACTCTGGTTGGTTTAAATCTTTCTAAAGAGATCAATACATATTTATTTGGTATTTCCCATTCTCCAGGCCAAGTCCGTTCAGCACTACGAACAGGCAGCTGATTATTTCAAGGGAGAGGAGTCGGTCAGTTCGGCCAACAAGTGCATGCTGAAGGTGGCCCAGTACGCCGCCCAGCTGGAGGACTACGAAAAAGCAATATCCATTTACGAACAGGTGGCCGCCTTCTCGCTGGAGAGCTCTCTGCTCAAGTACAGTGCCAAGGAGTACTTCTTCAGGGCCGCCCTCTGTCACCTGAGTGTGGACCTTCTGAACGCCCAGCATGCTATCGAGAAGTATGCGCAGCAGTACCCAGCATTCCAGGACTCGCGAGAGTTCAAGCTCATCAAGGTGAGTTATCATTCCATTTGGGTTTTTTTTTATATAATTATTCTATCTGATTAACTTTCCATTCATATCCTCAACCCTTAATATTGTGTGGATTTTTGTTTTCATATAGTTAATAACTTTGCATTCTTCTCCTTAATCCTTAATATTGTAAATAAAACCTCTATCAAAAATTAATAGATTGATATACAAGATATATACAAGAAATTACCTATAAAATGTGTATAACTTTATATATCAAATAATCTCATTTATTAGCTATTAGCACATTAAGTAATTGATTATATAGTAACTGAAAATATAATATTGTATTTAAACAGCCTCCATTAAAAGAAAATAATAATTCGATTAAAAATTGTTTCTAATTACTAATAATACCATTTTTTGTTACAGGTGTTGTGCGAGCATCTCGAGGAACAGAACATCGAGGGATTCACAGAGGCCGTCAAGGATTACGACAGCATCTCTCGGTTGGATCAGTGGTACACCACTATCTTACTACGAATCAAAAAGGCTGCAGACGAAGACCCCGACCTGCGATAAAATAATCAATTACACTTTCTGATGAAGTCGCGTACACATTTATTAAATGCTTTATTCGGTTCGGATATTAATATACCTACATATATATAACTAAATGAAAATTAATTAAACGTGTTGCATTGCTAAACCTGAAAGCACCCAAAAGACAGCCTGCTTAACCGCGTGAATTGAACTTACTGAATAGTCCATATACCCGAATTCTAGAGGTTAAATTAACGCTTATGCAACGAATGAAAAATCAGCAGAAGCCACGGTTCATCTTGCGTTACTAAGTGCTATTCTATTAAATCTTATTGTTTTTAATATGGAGTGATTAGAGGTGTTATGTTTGCCTGTTCTTGCGTTATTCTTGTTATTTGTGTAAGTAGCCAATCATTAAGTTAGCTGCTGTTTTATTTGGATGCGTAAAATACCCTATAGAAATCCGTATCCATAATACTATAACTATTGATATCTTTCATTCTATGTGTGTACTGTGTTAGATTATTTTGAGATTAATTGAAAAGTCCTTGGTAGTGAGCGAACATGAATTACAACCAAATTATAATTCGATTTACTGCACACAAAATTAAAACATGCAGTTTTAGATTGTACGCATATACACAACCTATAAATAAAATATATGTCCATATAAACATAAACAATTATCCCTATAAATATTCAAATTAGGAAACGGAATTCAAATAAATACTTGAGGGTCACATTTATAGGAAATTCCATCTCGCAAAATTTTTAAAAATGTTTAGTAGATCAACTTCCTATAAACATGTACGAAAAAGTTATAATCCAATAAATAAAATTACGACGGAGCTGAGAAGATTACTCGGGCGCTGAGGCCGAAACAAAATATCAATTTATTGAATGAATATCTCCAGGAAACACACAACACAACTAAAACTCAGAACACATTTAATTAATACCAATGCAAGGATCTAGGTAATGCCTCTATGCATGCATTACCTTAGATATTTCCAAATAAAATACTTTAATAAAGTTACATGCTTGGATTAATCCTGTCATCCTGTCTTCGTATCCAACGATTTTTGTCAATATACGCACAACCAATCCAGCCACATCCATTGTCTTTCTCTTTAACAATGAAAATACACCCTTACCTATGTAACTTTTGATATGATGTTTAATATCGTCCATAGCATAGTTTGCACAGTGGGCCGTTGGAAAAACCTTATTATTTGAATTATTTATTATTATTTTTAGTGAAATTTTATACAACTAGAGGCCTTAAGCTAATCTCGATTAGTCTTGTAGAGCCACTTGATAATTTCGACTTAGGCACTATCCATATATTTCGTAATCATTTTTTCCGATTTCAGTACTAATGTTATATATCACAAGTTACTAAAATAAGAAATCATACATAATGTTTTTTGAAGATCAATTCGTTGACACTTCTCCCCTCCATGATTTCTTAATATATGGTCAGTCCCTTAATCTTGATATCATCTCATCATTATAAGTTTTTAGAAGATTATTTATTACCAATATTTTAGTTGGTATTTTTAAGTCACGTTGTCTGAACATAAGTGAAACTAGGTTGAAATGTCACTACCTTTGGGATTAGGAGCTGAGCTGTTAGTCTAGGTGCTGCTCAGAGATGTCAACCAGTTTCCATTTCGATCTGATGAACATATCAGCTGCAACATAGTAGTATTTCCACCTGATCGTGCGAACTGAGCCACTTTTGCGAACGTCATTGTCAAGAGCAACAGACAAAGGCCTGTGCCCACATTAATGTCGGAATTCTCTCGCTCTGGCTCTCTGAATCCCCAGGTCTGAATCCGAACCGATCGGGGTCTCTGATTCAGAGTCGGACTCTCGCGGCGATGACGACGAGACGAGATGAATTGACCATATCAGTGCTCTGGAGGGTCGATGGAGCGATCTCTCAGTCAACTTGCCAATGTACGTGCGTTAGGTTCACTTTTTGTGGGGAGTGGTACTAGATCTCCCATCGAGTTCTTCGCAAAATCACCAGTGGCTAATTCCAGAAATTAAAATAATAAATAAATGGAATTATATAAACGCAAAACCAATACGCGAGCACATATACGTATACCCTCCTGCTGACGGAGTATTTGTATATCTGTGGAATTCCCAGTGCATTCCGGTTTTTTGAATAACATCCAACCAACAACCGTGTCTATATAAACGTCGCTTCGGCAGAGAGTCACACTGAAATACCGACATCGAAAAACCCCCAAAAAACGTCAATAAAAAGGAAAAAACTCTCAATAATTAATGCACACCCACATGATTAAGAAAAAGTGTGATTCCAGTCGTGTACTTAATCTGTAATAAAACATATTAAAACCGTGCGGTTAAATAATTCTTAAACGAACTTTTCCTTCCAGCCAAAAAATGCTTAGAACAGGTAAAACCAATGGACTATTAATTATGGGATATTCCAGACTGCATATTGGGCTTACAGCCAATCAATATGCTTATTCAATAATTTACAAGTACTCGTGTGTGCACTGCAAACATACATATATTGGAGAATATTAGGTACATATGTACACATGTTTAAGGTCGCCCACGGATCATCGCTATCAGTAGGAAAATGCTTGAGCAATGAATTGTTTACGCATCGGGGAATATACTATAGCAACTCACGGCAGTGTTTTTATAATTTTATTAGATTTCATTAACCCGGAAATGTCTATGTATTGTCAGAGAGGAACTGGCAAAACCTAGTGTAATTAGTCAGTGAAAAATATTATTATTCGATGAAATATAATTTACAAAGTTTTGTGGAGTAAACAAATGATTTACTCAGATAATTGTTTATAATATAATTTCATAGCCAAACTTAAGATATTTACTGAATATTAATAACCAGTCAAGGGTCGAATGTTTAGGTATACAAAATTAATTATAATAAAAATACAATGCAGCAGCATTTGTATGCGTTTTTTATCGTTGTATAAGAAGATTTTGCTGTAATTATATCCCATTTAACTCTTTGAATAATGTATTAAAACTTGAACATTTAAAATCTCAAGGTTCTCTTTTAAGTATAATGCCAAATACAGTTGGTTTCCAATTTTTAAAAAAGATAATAATTTCAGATCGCATGATGATAAGGATCTCCTTGGTTTTGGGGATGATCTTCCTCTGCGCCGCGAATCCCCAAAGCAGCAATGGCCTCCCCCAACTGTCGGTGGGATCTCCCCTTACCGCTTTGACGGATCCCGCGGCTTTCGAGCGTGCAGGTAGCCCCATCCAGTCCATGCGGAGCGACTTCGGCACCGATGTCCTGATCAGCATTTCGCAGGGAGTCCAGGTCTTCGCGCTCGATCTCCTCCAGCGCATATCCATCGAGGTGGAGGAGTCCAACCGGGACTTCATGATATCGCCCTTCTCCATATGGTCACTCCTTGTGCTCCTGTACGAAGGATCCAATGGAGAAACCTACAACCAGCTGGGTCGCGTCCTGCGGATCAATGTGGAGGGCGAAAAACTGCGTGGGGCGTACAAGGTGTGGAGCTCATTTCTCAAGTGAGTAAAAAATGTAATTAACTTTCATACTTTTTATTAACCCCTAGGCTTCTTTTGTCCTTTAAAGCACGACCACCCCCACCATCGAGGTGGCCACCCTGCAGGCCATTTACACCGACAAGGATTATCCCATCAAGAACAACTACCGGGATACCATCCAAAACTACAATGTGCAGCCCGTGGTGGTGGACTTCTACAGCCCGGATTCGGTGGTGGAGATAAACATGGCCACAAACCGCACCACCCGAGGCCTAATTCCGTACACCGTTCTGCCACAGGATATATATGGAGCCAGGATGTTTCTACTCTCCTCCCTTTACTTCAAGGGCCAGTGGAAGGTGGGCTTTGGCCTTGCTCTCTCCTACAGATCCTTCAATAAATCCTCTTCGATTCCAGTATCCCTTCAACGAAACCCTGACGAGAGTGGAGTCCTTTTACAACGAGAACGACCAGCCCATCACCCAGATACCCATGATGGTGCAGGAAGCGAACTTCGCCTATGCCGCCAACATAGAGGGTTTGGATGGCTATGTCCTGGAGCTGCCCTACGGCAAGCAGGACAGGCTTTCGATGATCGTGGTGCTGCCCAAGCGCGGTTTTAAGTTGAGGGACGTGGCCAACAATCTCAAGAACATAGGATTGCGACCCATCCTTCAGCGACTGGAGGCCTTCAGGAAGAAAGCCCCCGAAGACAACGAGGTGGAGGTCATGATGCCGAAGTTCGTGACATCCACGGACTTTGCGCTCAAGGAAACCCTTATTAATGTAGGTACACTTCCTTAAAAACACCATTGGTTAGAAACTGATTGTTATGTTTTTTAACTCTGATTAAACCCCTATCCAAACCTAGATGGGCGTTAAGGATCTGTTTGATGAGACTGCCGCCAACCTAGACCGCATGTCGAACGGGCTGTTCGCCAAGCAGGTGTTCCACTCCACCAAGATCATTGTGGACGAGCAGGGCACCACGGCAGGAGCAGTCACGGAGGCCTCGCTGGTCAACAAGGCCACGCCGCCCAAGTTCCAGATGAACCGTCCCTTCCAGTACATGATCGTGGAGAAGGCGACCGGTCTGATGCTCTTCGCCGGCCAAGTAAGGAACCCCAAGGCGGCTTAGAGATCAGAGCAGTGCCAGACTTTACTCACATACCACAATAAATACCTTACCTTAAGTCAAAATATGTTTACTTCTTGGTGGCCTTTCCAAATGGAATGGATTTCTCAGGGGATCTCTTTTTGTGCTTGTATAATCTCCCCCACCATATGGAATTTTATCTATGGGTGAGAAAAGGCATATGCCGATATAGTTTTATAGACTACCCAGTTGGGAATTAATTATACCTGTAAAACTCAGATCATTTAGCCACCTAGGGTGGTAACGGACTGTTATAAAGAAAAGATCGATGCTAAAATATAGAAAGCAAACTAATTTAAGGATATGAAGCAATACTTGGATTAGTCATTAAATTGTGTTAGGACTTTAAGTTTGGCAGGTAGCCGGAGAAAATGGGAAACAAATTATAAAATAAGAATTGAGACATATTTAAAGTTGACATATGTAAAAATATATTTAGAGTAATTTGGAACATGTTAGCCAACAACGTTGTGAATCTGTGAATCTACTTATTCGGTTTTGATAATATAATTATTTAGTCCTAGACAGTTATGAATGTACCTAACCAAAAATAAAATCGACATCCAAAAAATTTCTCCGCACTGTGGTAACATATCTTTATCGCTTAGAAATAGCATTGACAAGGATTAATAAATTTAACCCCCTAACTCTGTTAACCACTATTATGGGCTGGGCTGACAAAATATTTACATAAATGTTTGCAACTTTAATGAATACCCTGACGGAGCAGACCGAGGAGAAAACCAGGAAGTGATTCGAACTGTTTTTTTCCGGCGGAATGCCTAGAGACCTACTCGGTGTGTGACTGGACCAGTCGAAAGTACGATAAGTTGGAATTTATCCAGGAACTATTTATAATATGTACCCCTCACTGAAAGATGTGCTTGATGCCTATTCTCTGGTATCTTCTCCAGTTGTCCATGTATGGTTAATAAATATCTGTAACAAATTATATTAACACCTTTCTCTAAAAATTAAGTTTGGAGGGACTATACAGAAGTGGATTATCCTCAGGAAGTGGGAGGGAGTTCTGTCCGACGGGATGCATTCGAACTGAAAAATATTAAAAGGTGATTTATTTAAATTCAAATATTTTATTTTTAAATGACCTCAGGCATTTAACGTGACAGTTCGACTTTCTACTAGCAAAATAACACACTGACAATATATAAAGTCAACAAAAAGTAAGGCTGCTCATTTTACAAAATGGAAACAATTTGAAATATTAAACAAGATTATAAGCTTTAAGTTGCAAATAAGTTGCCTGTCGAATCCAATTATTATGAATGTGTCAGAATTTAGCTGAAAATGTTAAGCAATCGCTTATCTACAATGACAAAATGAAGATAAGAAGAAAACTGTAAAATGGAGGATGAAACTGATTTTGCTATCTGGCGTATTCAATGCATGGCTTGGAATATTAAACTACGCAAATCGTTATCCAAACCGGAGCTATATAAACCGTTTTTCACCCAGCTGAAGTTTTAGTTATATGAATAGAGAACTCAATAGTTAGAAATATTCTTAGTCAGCACCAGTACATCACATGATGATGAGGCTCCCATTGCTCTTGGTCTCCATTGTCCTTTTTTTGGCGCAGGAGCAATATGCCCAGTCGCCGCAGGACACCCTCTCGAAGGGAGTCGAGGATTTTTGCTTGGATCTCCTGCACCGTACAGCAGTGGGGCCCGAAAACTCCCACAAGAACTTCATGATATCGCCCTTCTCCGTGTGGTCCTTGCTGGTGCTCCTCTACGAGGGATCGGAAGGGGAAACCCTCAACCAGCTACGCCAGACCCTGCGCATCAATGTCGAGGATGAATTACTTCGCCGTTTCTACAGTGATCGGAACCGATTTCTCAAGTGATTAAATGAGGGCATAATATTAATTACATTAATAATAATTTCGGCCTTCTTATATTGATGTAAGCATCAAACATGACGATGTTGAGGTGAGCTCCCTGCTGGCCGTGTACACCGACAATAGTTATTGGATCAAAAATGGCTACCGGTATACCATCCAGAGCTACAATGCGCAGACCGAGGAGGTGGACTTCAGCAGAGCGGATACGGTGCGTCGGATCAACGATGTCATCGATCGCAGCACCCGAGGTCTCATCAAAAACCCAGTGAAGCAACAAGATGTGTATGGAGCCAAAATGTTCCTGCTTTCCACTCTTTACTTCAAGGCCTGGTGGACGGTAGGGTTTTGACTGTTCGCCTTTAACAGATCCTTTAACATATCCTGATCGATCGCAGTTCCCCTTCAAGACATCACAGACAAGGATGGGATCGTTTCACAACGAGAACGGTGCGGTTATCGCCGAAGTGCCCCTGATGCAGCAGACAGCAAACCTCGCCTTTGCCTCCAAAATCCAGGGTCTGAATGCCTTTGTTTTGGAGCTGCCCTACGGCACCGGCAAGAACCCGGCGATGATCGTGCTGCTGCCCAAGCGTGGCTTCAAATTAATCGATGTGGCCAACAATCTGAGAAACATAGGATTATGGCCCATCTTCCAGCATTTGAATGCTTTCAGAAGTAATGCCTCCGAGGACAACGAGGTGGAGGTCGTGTTGCCAAGATTCGAGATATCCACGACTTTTGATCTCAAGGAAACCCTGATCCAGGTGCGTACCTTTGCTTAAATTAATTTAAAGCTATTACCGAAATCAAAAGATTTCTAAAAATCGATCAACTAATATTATGTAAAATTTTATTCAAAATATTCTTTAAGTACATAAAGCATTCTATAAAATAACAAGAATGTACAGTTTTTGACACAAAGCCATAGAATTTGAATCTCTTTGAATCCAAAACTTTACAAAAGGTTCCTACACTTCTTAAAAACGTTTGAATATTATTTTGGTTATACAAATGCAATCTATTCTAATTATGATTTTGCCCAACAAAAACAATTTAATACCCAGATGGGCATTCGGGATCTGTTCGACGAGGGTGCCGCCAACCTAGACCGCATGTCGTCCGGATTGTTCGCCAACCTAGTGAGCCACTCCACCAAGATCATTGTGGACGAGGATGGAACCACGGCGGGAGCGGTGGCACAGGCTTCGCTGGAGAACAAGTCCTCGCCGCCCCAGTTCCAGTTGAACAGGCCCTTCATGTACCTTGTCGTGGAAAAGTCCACCGGGCTGCTCCTTTTCGCCGGCCAAGTGCAAAACCCCAAGGAGACTTAAGGATTAGAGCCTTTAACTGAATAAATACGTTATATTAAGTTTAAGCTTATTTTTTGATAGGGTTTTGCTGACTTAATGGCTGACCTAATTAATTATCAATTAATATGGGAATACAAAAATAAATAATAATAATAAAGGCTGGCTGACTTAATCAATAATCAATTAATATGGGAAAAATAGAAAAATAAATAATAATAATACCACATATTTATGCTACCTGAGATTTTAAATACGGGGTGCAACTATGCACTTTCTAACCGAAGGCGAGGATAACTTTTAATCAAGGGTGCGAACGTTAATGGCGGTTCGATTGCCTGAGAAAGATGTTTCCCACATCTTTACAAAAGTAGATTACAGTCGGCTGAAAAGACACAATTGGAGAGAATATACTGTTCTAAGAAAAGTTGAGCCCTGACTTTCTGCGCACCATGGCATGCGACTTGCATGGGCATTGGCAATAAATTGATGAACAAATTATAGATTACATTTTTGAAGGTATACATGTAGGCTAAGTGTAATGTAGATTTTGTTAAATATATGGTGAGCTTCAGTAACTGCTCTACTTTGTCTCTGCCACCTGAGTGTAATGATGGCACAATATAAGTAGGTAATAAAGGTTATCTATAATGAAACACGAAAATGAGTTTGTAAAATGCAGTTTGAAATTGATTTTGCTATCTGGTGTACTCAGAGCATGGCTTAGAATATTGAACTATACAAATCAATAACTTTTAAAGCCAACCAGAAAGTATATAAACAGGTTTTTACAGTTGCAAATAAGTCTCGGGCGCAAAACTAATTTAAGAATAAAACAGTAATAATATTCTTGATCAGCACCTGCATAACACATGATGTTGGGGCTCCCATTGCTTTTGGTCTCAATTGTCCTTTTTTTGGCGCAGGAACAATATGCCCAGTCGGCGCTGGACACCCTCTCAAAGGGAGTTGAGGATTTCTCCTTTGATCTCTTGCAACGCATTGCCGTGGAGACCCAGAAGTCAAACAAGAACTTCATGATATCGCCCTTCTCTGTGTGGTCCCTGCTGGTGCTCCTCTACGAGGGATCGGAAGGGGAAACCCTCAGCCAGCTGCGCCAGGCCTTGCGCATTAATGTGGAGGATGAAACACTGCGCAGTTTCTACAGGGCGCGGAACCAATTTCTCAAGTAAGTATCTGTAGAGGAGTTCAATTGTTATTATCAGTTTAAATTGTTAAAAACATTAAATACTGTTATAATAATATCGGGCTTCTTCTTTCAATGCAAGTACCAAAAAGGCCGGAGTCGAGGTGGGCTCGCTGCTGGCCGTGTACACCGACAAGAGTTTTTCGATCATGAAAGGCTACCGGGATACCATACAGAGCTACAGTGCTCAGACCGAGGAGGTGGACTTCAGCAGAGCGGATACGGTACGTCGGATCAACGATGCCATCGATCGCAGCACCCGAGGTCTCATAAAAAACTCTGTGAAGCAACAAGATTTGTACGGAGCCAAGATGTTCCTGCTTTCCGCCCTATACTTCAAGGGCCAGTGGACGGTAGGATTTTGACTGTTCCTTTGCACAGATATTCTTCAACATATCCTGTTCAATTGCAGTTCGCCTTCAACCCAGCGATGACAAAAATCCAACCGTTCCACAATGAGAACGGTGCTGTTGTCGCCCAGATACCCATGATGATACAGGAAGCGGCCTTCGCCTACTCCTCCAATGTACGGGGTCTGGGTGGTCAAGTTCTTGAGTTGCCGTACGGCTCGCTGGAATGGATGTCGATGATCGTGGTGCTGCCCGACCCAGGAGTTACACTGAACACCTTGGCCAATAATCTGAAGACCGTCGGACTGCAACCCATTCTTCAGGAGCTGGCTGAATACAAAACAAAGTATGGGACCGACGAGGTGGAGGTTATGGTGCCTAAGTTCGAAACAGCCACGGATATTTCACTGAAGGAAATCCTAAGCCAGGTGAGTAAAAAAGTTTTACTTTAATAGATATCCGCACGAAGTATGGTTTTCTTTAGGTAAACTTAAATTTTATTCGGGAATACCCGAATCGGGGGAAATTTAATATTCCCCTAACTAACCAATTAAAAAAAAACATAAAATATTAATCGAAATCCTACTCTTAGTTCTAAACTTTTAATATTGGTAGGCTGTTCCTAAGCAAACCTTTTTTTGGTCAATGTGTAATTCCCTAGATGGGCATCCGGGATCTATTCGATGAAAAAACCGCTAACCTGGGCCGCATGGCGCCGGGATTGTTTGCCTCGCTCTGCAAGCACTCTTCCAAGATCATCGTCAACGAGCAGGGCACCACGGCCGCAGCGGTCACGCAAGCGTCGATATTCAACAGGTTCGGTTCAACTCCAATTCTATTAAACAGGCCCTTCCAATACATGATCGTGGAGAAGGAAACTGGCCTTTTGCTCTTCGCCGGTCAAGTATGGAACCCAAAGGCTTCTTAGCAAATTGAACCAGTTCATACCCGTGCCACAATAAATACGTTACTCAAAACAGTTTTATTTCTTGGTACGGCCGGCGGCCTTTTTTCCACCAACTGGTTGCTGTTTGTCTTTGCCGGCCTTGCTGGAGATGAGGGGATGTGTTTCTGTAATAAAGGGATCATGGTTAAACAGCCAATTCAAGCTTCTTTAGTTGATCATACCATCGGTTGGGGCATCGGGCAGACTGACATCGTATAGCTGCATCCGTCGGCGCTTGGAAGCCATGATATCGTCATCATAGTCATGCGGATCCGAGCTGAGCATCACTGCACTGGCCTCCATTCCGTCCTGCCCAGCCCAGCCGTCTTCGGGATCCTCCACCTCCGGTGCCATCGGCAGAAACTGAAGTGCGTTCTCGTCCTCGCCCTCCTCGTCGGAGGAGCAAAAGGCAGCGACTGGCTCCACCTTCTGCACATCCACCTCGATTTCCTCGTCCTGCTGAGCGTCTGCGTTTAGATCCACCGACTTGTCCTCGTCCGCGATGTCGAACTCCGACTCTCGCTCCTCGTACTCTACATTTTCATCCAATTCTTTAAAATCTGGTGCAAAGGCCGACCAGTTTTCCACTTGATTTTGAGCCCAAATGGAGACCAGTCCAGAGCTGATGCTGGCGATGATGGGGCGCACAGGATGCCACACTACATCCAAGAGCAGCTCACCCTTGGTGCCGTGTAGGATCTTAACAAGGTTGCCAATGGACTTCTCCCAAATGTAGAGAGCATGCTGGCGAGCACTGCCTGCGCAAATGTACTCCCCATCGCCGGAAAAGCAGCATTTCTTCCAAGTGGTTCTAAGAGGAGTCGAATTGTTTAATAATTAGGTATACTCTTAGTTAAATTGAACAGTTACTTGTTGACCAAATCCTGCAGCTTTTGTATAGGTTCCGGCTCGCCGTCTTTGCCCAGGGTGATGATTTCCTTTGAGTCGTAAACGCGAATAACTCGATCAGAGGTGTTAATAAGAAATGCGCTTTAAAAAAGAGTTCAAATGATGTTAATTCCCCTTATAAACTATAAAATTATATCTATTTTTTCACTTACTCTCCACGCCTAGCGAATTCAATGCTTTTTACTGCCGTCGCACTCGAGGTGCCCACAATAATGCGAAAACTGGCCACCACCTCGAAGGTTTCCACATCCAAGACGAGTATTTTTCCCTTGGCATTGCCTGTGTAGATGTGCTTGCCTCTGCGATCGAACGAAGCCACTATGTTCAAGTCGCCCTGGGAAAAACAAGAACTTAAAGAATGACACTACAAATGGGATAGCCAAACAAACATCTGAGTCTAAGGGCAGGCAGCGATGGGATCCGCCGATCTCCACCAGAACGGCGGCATATCGCATGGGGCAGACCAGAAGTCGGTTGTCATTGCGCGGATCGAACTGGACTTTCAGCACGGGCGAGGGAAATCTGTACTTGTGCTCCAGTTCGCCGGTTAGCACGTCCCAAATGCAGACATTGTTGTCCGTGGATGCCGAAAGTAGCTGAAATGGAATGGAAAATTAAAACAACTAAAGAGTATTAAGAATTGGGACTAACTTTATGACCATTCCGGGTCCAACTGAGACTGCAGACGGGGTGCACATGGGCTGAAATAATCTTGGCAATGCCCCGCGTCAGGAAATCCCAAATTACAATTCGGCCATCATTACAGCCAACGGCCAAAAGGGTTCCGTATTTGTTAAAGGCACACGTCACAGCTAGTGATATGCAGTCCAGAGAGCCATCGAACTCCTCGGGGTAGTTCTGTCCAAAAGATTCTAAGCAAATTGATTGTTACTTATGGAAAACATTAAAATTTCGCGCGTTTCTCACCTAGCAGCTCCAAATTCATTTTTGTTTACTATCTTCTTCTTCCAAAATGGCAGCTGCAATTCACAGGAAACTGTTATAACATGAAATGTTAATTAACATAGATACAGTCCATTCGATAGTTACCTTATTTTTTATTTAAGACTTTAAATAAATTTGATTCTATATCTTAGCCTTTGAATAATAATAATTGTCATTAAATGAAAAACAAATAAAATGAAATAGGTCTTTTAGTACACTGGTCCTTACATTAATTAATTATTTACTAAAAGAATTAAATTATTTTAGCATTTCAGAATCTATAAGCGAATGCTCACAATTTCTTGGAGATGTTTATGATACTTGCCATTTACAAACATTCTAATATGGTAAGCAATACGAGAATATTGCATTATAATAATCAACATATTTAATTATGTTTCAGCGTTATATTCACATACTAAACATGTATAGAGTCAACAAAAATTAATTACAAATAATTAAGTAATTAAGGTAATTTAGTAAATCAGTTAAATCTTTTAAAGTTTAAATTGTAAAGTAAAAGTTTTTGTAAGTTAAATTTATAAATTAAGTATAGTTTTCTTTAATACTAATTTAAAAGTTTTGTTATGACTGTTATATATTAATCAAGCTAATGTCTCTAATCGTGTTTTCTCCACCACGTATGATAGTGTCATACACAGACCTTTAAACTTTTGAGATATCGATAGTGTCGTCGGAGTTTTTCCACCTCTATTTTTTGAGCTCTGTGCACGTTGTATGTGAAAAATTTATGCAGATGTATTCGCCAATTGTAACCAAGCCCGGATTGTGAAATTGCAAGCAGACGTGTAGCAGCATAATAAGTGCATTTATTTCGCCGAGCCAAAGTTTCGAATATCGTAATTTCGGGGACATTTTAACCGTGGCACGCGATTGTGTCAACGTCACCTTTGGAGCACTCGCTCTCGCTCGCTCTTACTCCCCCTCTCGCTGCCAATTTTTTGCATGCCCTCTCTCGCTTGCTCCCAAAAGCTTAACGGTTGGAGTGAAATAATGAAATAACCGAGTTTCGACTTTCGTTAGGATCAGAAGTGCGGGGCTTGAATGTTAAAATTACTTTTAGTTTCAAACTGTTTTCAACTCCGTTTTTGAGGTTTTCCAGTTGGCCAGCGAGAAAGAGAGGGAGTATGCAAACGCAATTACGGTGCTCGCGCTCTGCTTGTGCTTTTCACTCGGCTCTCTCTTTTCCCCCGACCGTATTTACTGTGTGTGTGTGTACATGGTTATTTTAAAGGTTTTAACAAATTGCAGTGTATTCATCGCCAGCCACGTTAAAAGGAAGAACGTGTATGTGAATACGACCAGCAGAGAAGCTAAAAGAAGGATTCAGGAGCCCGAAATTCTCAATCCCCATCCCACACAGGCACATAAAAGCAAGCAACGAGCAATATGTCTGGAGAGGAAACGTCTGCCGATCGCAATGTCGAGATCTGGAAAATCAAGAAGCTCATCAAGAGCCTGGAAATGGCCCGCGGGTGAGTTATCTCTATCGATATCGATGTAAAGTCCTTTCCCCCATCTCTTTTGTGTGTGGGGTATACATAAAAACAACAACATGGGGGTGGAAGTGGGCGTAGTGTTAGTGGGTGGGTGCGTGGGGGAGTAGTGAGTACAACCACCTTTCCTTGTTGTTGCCGAGTGACTCTCCTTTGCATTGTTTCCAATCTCCGCAAGATCCCTCTTTTTCCCCTCCCTCTCTTTTGCATACAAGCAACACGTTTTTGTCGGGTTTTTATCAGTTCAAACTAGACTGATTGAGTGAGAGAGAGGGAGAGAAAGAGTGTGAGTGAGTAATGCGCCTCGTGGCTGTTGTGCGTGTGCGTGCGTATATGTGTGTGTTTTCCCCAAAATGGGCCAAGCTTTGTTTTTCCCCCTCTCTCACTCTGTCTCTTTCCCTCTCTCGACCCGGTCCTTACCGCTTCACTCCGCTTCAGAGTGGGTAACAAGGTCAGCAAATCGAGTGACCCCGCAGGAACATATATATGTATATTTTTTGGTACCAACACACAGTCAGAGCCAACATAATACAGCTGCCAACTGGAGTTTGCGACTCTTGCCAATTGGGGTTTAATTTGTACAGTTATCTTAGATTTTCTACTGGTTTTTATCTATTTAAAAAAAAAATACAGTGGGCAAAAAAGGTTGAACTTCTAAAACTTTAATTAAAATTTTCGCAAACTTATTTCATTTGTTCAACAATGATCTAAATATACGATTTTTAAGAAGTTAGCTTCTGCATTGTTAAGTTTAACAACGCCATGCCGTGATAACTTAAATTGTTTAAATTGAATTACAAATGGGTTATTTATAAAAATAGCGAAAAAATAAAAAGAAAACCATGAAAACATATGAATAGTAACTGCTAATTTGTTATGTAATTGTTAGGGCTTAAAATACAAATTAGTTAAAAAAGATTCCATTCGATTTTTGAATAATTTAAAAATTAAATCCAGACGGCTTTTACTTTTTATCGTTACCTTTTTATAGTGAATACTGTTAAACGACTTACTGAAATCTACAATATGTTATTCACGGTCATGTTACAGACTTTAAAAATTATGATGATTATTTGTAACGACGCGTGAATATAAATATGCCTTGCACTGTTGCTACGGCAGAAAAGCCCTTTTATTTACTAATTTCCAAGTCTCCCTTTCTCTCTTTAATTTCATTTTTTTAGCAATGGCACCAGCATGATTTCTTTGATTATTCCGCCAAAAGATCAAATATCGCGCGTCAGCAAAATGTTGGCCGATGAGTTTGGAACGGCCTCGAACATTAAGTCTCGCGTAAATCGCCTGTCCGTCCTCGGTGCCATTACGTCGGTCCAGCACAGACTCAAATTATACACCAAAGGTGAGTTTTTCGTTGGAAATTTAAACTCTAAGGCCTGTAACCCCTAATCCCTGTTCAATTTCAGTGCCTCCCAACGGTTTGGTCATCTACTGCGGTACCATTGTCACAGAGGAAGGCAAGGAGAAGAAGGTGAACATAGACTTCGAGCCATTCAAGCCCATCAACACGTCGCTGTACCTCTGCGACAACAAGTTCCACACGGAGGCCCTCACTGCCCTGCTCGCCGACGACAACAAATTCGGATTCATCGTGATGGACGGTAACGGAGCGCTGTTCGGAACCCTTCAGGGCAACACCCGCGAGGTGCTGCACAAGTTCACCGTCGATCTGCCGAAGAAGCACGGACGCGGTGGTCAGTCTGCCCTTCGTTTTGCCCGTCTTCGCATGGAGAAGCGCCACAACTACGTGCGCAAGGTCGCCGAGGTGGCCACCCAGCTCTTTATCACGAATGACAAGCCCAACATTGCCGGACTCATCCTGGCCGGTAGTGCGGACTTCAAGACCGAGCTCAGTCAGTCAGACATGTTCGATCCCGTGGGTTTTTAGCTTTCCATCCTTTGAGTCTGTGAAGTCTTTAACCTCGTTTTGTTTTGTAGCGTTTGCAAACAAAAGTAATCAAGCTGGTGGATGTGTCTTATGGCGGCGAAAACGGTTTTAACCAGGCCATCGAATTAGCAGCCGAATCGTTGCAGAACGTGAAATTCATACAGGAGAAGAAACTCATTGGTCGTTACTTTGATGAAATTTCTCAGGTGAGTTGGCAAATCAAAATCTTAAGCTTCAAAACTTGCTAGGTGTGCTTATCATAAGAAAAAATATTACGATTATGTGGTAGGATGTTTAATTGAATACACAAAATTTTTATGTTACCTATTTTAAACTTTTTGCATAGGTGGGTTGAAAAGGCTTGAAGGTTAAAGATAGTTCAAAGGTATTTTAAGGTACAGCTTTTTTTTCAAACAAAAACAACCTGTGTTAATAGAAATTAATAACAATACACGCTTTTTCGTAATGATTCATCACTTTTTGCCATTATTATTAAAATATGTCTTAGAAAATAATATATTTAAATTATAAGAATACTTATCATTAAAAAAATAATTGCAAGAATAACCATATGTTACTTCTTTATCCAATTTGTAAAGGACACTGGCAAATACTGTTTCGGAGTGGAGGATACTTTGCGGGCACTGGAACTTGGCTCGGTGGAGACCCTTATTTGTTGGGAGAACCTGGACATTCAACGTTATGTTCTCAAAAATCATGCCAACTCGACGTCAACGACAGTATTACATTTGACGCCCGAGCAGGAAAAGGACAAGTCGCACTTCACTGACAAGGAGGTGGGTACTCACGTTCAATTATAGTTATCAGATACTAACTGGTCTTTAATCTCAATAGAGCGGGGTGGAAATGGAGCTGATTGAGTCTCAGCCGCTACTGGAATGGCTGGCAAACAACTACAAAATGTTCGGCGCCACACTGGAGATTATCACGGACAAGTCCCAGGAGGGAAGTCAGTTCGTGCGAGGTTTCGGTGGAATCGGCGGTAAGTGTTCAAGACATTGTCTTCATACCCCACAGATTAGCTGGCTAGCGGTAGCTCGAAATATTTTTCTAAACAAATGCTGCAACTATTTCCATTCCTCTTCCCTCATGCTGCTTTCACACGGTCGTCAACGCTATAATGTAAACTTAAACCTTAAACTTGATACCTCGATTTTATGTGTAGGCATTTTGCGCTATAAAGTAGATTTCCAATCCCTACAGGCCGACGAGCCGCTGGAGGACGTCGATCTCGATGACTATTAAGCCGGGTGGGGCTGCGAACGTGTCTCGATCATGCGTTACATACATAATAAACCAGTACTTTTTGGGAAACCTCGTAAAGCAAAACGTTCAAATTGATTAGGAACCAATTTACTTGCCACATAGTTTTACCTATGTTCAGCGTAGTCGTTCAATATTTATCACCAATAGGGTCCCCTCATCAGTCGGATGGTGCATTTCCTTGTCGATCAGATCATCGTGTATCTAGATATGTACCTATACGTTTTACCAAATTTTTAAATTAGTCGTGCACCAAGCGGAACCGAGTGCGAGATTATTTTTAAGCAAAAAATTAAATTCGTATTTCGTATTCGTAATTCGTAATTCAATTGTCATGCATAAGAGATATCGCATTCTCTATTCACCTTGTTCGATTTCGACTGCGGACTTAGGAAGCATAAGATCTGCAGTGGACATGCCGCTGAAAAGTTTCGAACGTATCTGCATTTTCCCTATTCAAATTACAACCGAGTGTTATAAGAAAGTATACAAATCTAATCCATAAAACTGTAATAAAAATTAAACCAGAAATAAAACACCACACATAATGAGGATGAATATCCGTTTACATTCAATCGCGAAAACTACACGGGCTCATATACTATTTATGAATTAGTAAATGAAAGTATAATGTCTCAGGAGGTGAGAGCCTGATGTTCAGTTATTTTTATATTATTTGGATTATCTGTTAAGATTTTTGTTCTTTTTCATTTCTTCAATATCTGCTTTTGTTCTTTAAGCGATTTTGTTTGTTTATGTTATTTAAATAAAATTAATTGTGCATTCGCAGGTATCTTACGCTACAAGGTGGACTTCCAGAGTATGCAGCTCGATGATTTGGACAATGACTGCTTCGACCTAGATGATTACTAGAAAATGTTTCTGTAGAAATGAATTTGCAACTACCGTCGACCGCAAACTGAAAACTGCAACTACATAAAACCAGGAAAATCAAATAGAATATTTTAATAATACGAAAAACACACAAACCTTCTTCCATTTTAACGTTGTTGGCGAAAAAAGTAAAATTTAAATTAATGCATATAAATACAAACGATATAATGTTAAATCGAGGAAAACCTATTAAAATGATACCGTTTTACGTGAACAAAAATATAACTGCTATATTTATTTTGGAATTCCACAAAAAATGTAACGCTATTTATTCGGCGGAAAGTGAAGAAAATGGGATAAGAATTTAAATAATATAGGAATGCCGTAATATATACATCAATTTAAATGATGACAATTGCTCGCTTTAATTGATAAGACTAATAACCGCAAAAAACGGAAGCATAATTCTTGGATTGATTATTGATATGATTTTCCCTAGGATATCATTTTGCATATCAATTCTCTTTCGGATGTGTTCGAACAGTAGTTATTTATTTCTAAATCAGGGAATGCTGGTAGACACTTGTTGCAGTACTGCCAGCATAACAATGAAAGTGTTGATGAAAGTTAGGGAAATTGTGTGTATGTGTTTTCGGGCAAGACTTTGTTACTTTCTATTTGCAGACGCACTTGGAAACAGTTTATTACGAGATCCCAACTGACACGTGTACGTCATACATATACGATTTGTTGTATTAGCCATTTGCATCTAAGAATTTGGATAGATTTACCTGGTGCGACGAAACTTGTTTCTGAACCACACATAAAACCAAGTATCTGTACTTGTTTGTGTATAAGTACAGAAAAAACCTACAGTCGGCGTTCTCTTACACAAAAAGAGAGTAAATAAACTTACCAAGACTTCAAATAAGGAATTTCCAAAGTTAAATTTAGCCAAGTTTTACTGTATGTTATTAAATATGCAACAAAAGCACGTTTGGTGGACCAAGTTTTTGCTGTCTCAAACGATTACTTTGTTAAATCGATATGGAAATTATTTCTATTATTACCTCTTTAATAAACAGCCTACGTTATTAAGAGGCAGTAAATCCATTACTAATTAGTTACTGTTTTCCATTATTAATTGGATTTATTTAGCAACCCAAAAATAGTCAATCGTTATTAGTTATAAAAAACTCTATAAGGTTATATGGGTTATACATGCCAAACATAATCTTTTTTTTAACATTTTTTTAATATTTCAAAAAAATTATTTTATAATATAGACACTCGTTAGTAGTATTTTAAAGTAGTACGCTGGTCTTGAACATTTTTTTTTGAGGAAATAGCTAAGTACAGTGAACTTTCAAAACCTTTATGAAAGTACTAATCCGATCGATCAACAGTTTTTAATTAAGTCCCAGAGATATTACCCTACTTAAAAAAAATGTTATGTCGATGTTTAGACGAAATAAAACCAGGTCCACTCTACACTCAACAAGTGCTGTGCTGCCTATGTATGTATATTTACAGCCCATACGTTCGTATCTCAATTATTTTGAGTGTGAGCAGACCCAGACGAGGGTTTACAACTTAATGAGAATTTGATCAAGAGAACGTTAAAACACAATCAGCTGCAGTCAGTCGGGCACTTCCAATTGAATAGTCGACGAAAGAGGTTCTCGAGACCCCAAAATAATCGGTTTCTACAGGCTAACTAAGTTCTTACATACATAGAGGAGATATGGCAGTTCCAGTGGATCAGACAGCGGCTGTCAATCAGATTCGCGATGGGCTCATGGACGACTGGAATGTCCTGCAGAACGTCTTCAAGTTGCTCCAGAAGGAGGATACCTTCTCTGTGGATCCCCAGAAGTGGGGCAAGCAAAAGATAGTGCCGTTTTTACAGCCAGACAAACTGAAGGTGAGTAAGGAATAGACGCGCCGGCGTCTGCCGATCTGGAGATAACGAACGGACTGATTAATTAAAGAGTTCATTTTCAAAACATGACCCCTAACGGCAATTTAAATGATTTTATTGTAGTTCGGCAAACGAGTGAAAAGTAATGCCGTAATCTACTTTTCTTTTGTTTGAGTTTGGAGTGTGTAGTTAAGTTCACTCAAGAATTTGATACCGTGAAGTCCTAGTGTTTATGTATAGGTTAATAAAATCGATATCTTACTAAACAATTAAGCAGAAATTAAAAATATTCTAACTTATATTGAGCTACCAAAATATTATTTGGGTAAAAAAAGAGTTAACTCGCACACATATATTTGGATTGAACTACACGCTTTCACAGTGTTTGTTACTTTCTTTTAGATATTCCATAGGAATATTTTTCGTTATAAATATCAAACTCGTTAGTCGTTTAGTAAAAGGGATTTGCATCGTATATCAAGAGGATTGTTAATAAGTTGAGAGATATTTGAACTGAAGTCAGAAGTTTTGTTTAGTAAACTGTTTAAAAGTTTCACTGTTTCAAATATTTCAACTTTCGATAATGCACTTATTTCGAACTATTCTATGCAATCATTTCCAGGAACTGATTAATCTGAAAGTCCGCGAGACGGAGAAGTGCACACTCGCTGAAATCGAGGAGCTGTGTCAGCAGGTCATCCATTACTCCGTGAAAACCTCGCACGGGCGCTTCCACAATCAGCTCTTTGGGCAGCTCGACCCATTCGGCTTGGCAGGAGCCCTGATCACCGAGGCCATGAACGGAAGCACGTAAGTCCGCCGTAGCATTACTCCGTGCATGTGCCTACATGACCGACAGCTGATTGCATCTTTCGATTCCATCTACAAGTGGCTCAATCTACAGAGTTCACCGAACAGATAATTGTGTTAATGCTGTGTGAATTCCAAAGTATAAATTTAACCCTCTGAAAACCGTGTAACCCATACTTTTATTTCAAAATTTTGTATTTACTTTTTTAAAGAAGTTCAAGAATATTCTTATTTATTTATAAAGGGGCTAAGACAATGAGAAAAAAGCTTCTACTGATTAAGCTCCTGGGCTAGAACATGTAATTTTTGAGTAAATGTTCTATTTAGATATTAGTTTCGTCTTTACAATTTTCAAAAAAAGATACATAAGTTTTGTTTATTACCATTACGAAATTAAACTCATGCTCATTTAATGCAAGATTTAAATTAAGAGATATATTTTCTAAATTGGTTAATACCCCAAGGTATGATATATTCATCAAAATTCCTGTTGCAGATACACCTACGAAGTTGCCCCTGTGTTCAGCCTGATTGAGACTGAAATAATTTCGACCATGAGTCAGCTGGCGGGATATAAGGATGGCGATGGCATTTTCGCGCCCGGCGGCTCCACCTCCAACATGTACGGCATGGTCCTGGCCCGCTACAAGATCGCTCCCGAGGTGAAGACCGCGGGAATGTTTGGGATGCGACCCCTGGTGCTGTTCACCTCCGACGAATCGCACTACAGCTTCATGAAAGCGGCGAACTGGCTGGGATTGGGCAGTGACAACTGTGTGTCGGTGAGGACCAACGATCGGGGTCAGATGCTCCTGGACGATCTGGAGGAGAAGATCGAGGAGGCGAAGGCGCGTGGTGGACGGCCGTTCTTTGTCAACTGCACGGCAGGTACCACTGTACTGGGTGCCTTCGATGACATAAATGGTGCAGCGGATGTGGCGGAGCGTCATGGTCTGTGGCTCCATGTGGACGCCTGTTTGGGGGGTGCTTCACTGCTCTCCTTAAGGAATAGATCCCTAATCACAGGCCTAGAGCGGGCCAACTCCTTCGCCTGGAATCCACATAAGACAGTCGGTGCTCCTTTGCAGTGCTCGATGTTTCTAACTCGGGAATCGGGTCGTCTGCTGGAGAGATGCAACAGCACCGAGGCGCACTACCTCTTCCAGCAGGACAAGTTCTACGACGTGTCCTACGACACGGGCAACAAGAGTGTCCAGTGCGGCCGCAAGATCGACGCCTTTAAGTTCTGGCTGATGCTAAAGGCCCGCGGTTACGGGAAGTACGGACTCCTGGTGGACCATGCCATCGATATGGCCAGATTGCTGGAGGATAAGCTGCGTCAGCGCGGAGATCGCTTTAGATTGGTGCTGCAGAAGCACGAGTACTCCAATGTCTGCTTCTGGTACATCCCAAAACGCATGAGGGTGGCCCCGAAGGAGGAAACCCCTGAATGGTGGGATCGTCTTTATACTGTAAGTCACTCTTAAATTATATTAATTTCATTGATGTTTTTATTTATATTTTCCTTGTATCGCCTTATAGGTGGCTCCGAAGATCAAAGAGCAGATGGCCCACAGTGGCACCTTAATGGTGGGCTATTCCCCTCTCAAAGCTAAAAATCTGGGCAACTTCCTCCGCATGGTCTTCACTTGCTTCCCTGTCCTTAAAAGCGAAGAGCTGGATTTCATCTTGGATGAGATTGAGAGATTGGGAGAGAAAATTGTCGTTTAATCAACATGTTTGATTTTAAAGGCAATTTTAAATATTCAATTAAGTAAATTACACGAAAATAAATGTAAATAAGTATAAATAAAACGGGGTTTGCACTCTTTTTGAGGTTTGAATAGTACCAGTTTTAAACGGCTTATCAAATTAGGTATATATTAAAATCCTTGACATACTACAATTATTTTTTTATTTAGCAGATTGCTTAAACGTTTTTTATCTTTCCATGGATCATTTCTCGATAAATAATATAAATTCGAAATTAATGCGAAAATCCGCTTTAAAACACATACAACCGTTATAAATGACTTAACCCGACTGGTCACACCAAAAGAAACGAAACATCGCAAAAACTATCGATAAAGTACTATGATATTTTGTAAATAACCAACAATGGTCACACGTAAATTAAATCTATAAGCTGCAATCAAAACAATCAGAAATTGTTGCGAAATTATTGAAAATAAAGGCAAATAAAAAGGCTTAAAGATGGGTCGCGCCGAGGTGGGTACGCCCAAGTACCTGGCCAACAAGATGAAGTCGAAGGGCCTGCAGAAACTGCGATGGTACTGTCAGATGTGCGAAAAGCAGTGTCGCGACGAGAATGGCTTTAAGTGCCACACGACGAGCGAATCTCACCAGCGCCAGTTGCTCCTCTTCGCAGATTCCCCTGGGAAGTTCTTGCACAGCTTCAGCAAGGAGTTCTCCGACGGCTACATGGAGCTACTGCGCCGGCGGTTCGGCACCAAGCGGACCAGCGCAAACAAGATCTACCAGGAGTACATCGCCCACAAGGAACACATCCACATGAACGCCACCAGGTGGTTGACCCTTTCCGACTACGTCAAGTGGCTCGGGAGGACGGGCCAGGTGATAGCGGACGAAACGGAGAAGGGCTGGTTCGTCTCATACATCGACCGCAGTCCGGAGGCCATGGAGCGCCAGGCGAAGGCCGATCGGAAGGAGAAGATGGAGAAGGACGACGAGGAGCGAATGGCAGACTTCATCGAACAACAAATCAAAAAGGCCAAGGCAAAAGACGGAGAGGAGGATGAGGGCCAGGAGAAGTTCACCGAACTTAAACGCGAGGAGAACGAACCTCTGAGGCTGGACATTCGTTTGGAGAAAAAGTTTCAGCCCGACACGGTCCTAGGAAAATCCGCATTAACAAAACGACCTGCCTCTGAAGTTGACGAAAAGGTCTTTAAAAAGCCCAAATCCATTGCTGGAGACAGTCAAACTCGGTCGGCGCTGGACGAGATAATCAAGCAGGAGGAGGCCAAAAAGGAGCGCGCCAACCGCAAAGACTACTGGCTGCACAAGAACATTGTGGTCAAGTTCATCTCCAAGTCCATGGGCGAAAAGTTCTTTAAACAGAAAGCGGTTGTCCAGGAAGTCATTGACAAATATCAAGCTAAAATCAAGTTCTTGGACACAGGGGAAAAGCTCAAAGTGGATCAGGTAGGCCACACATAAACAATAACTAATAATGTATATTAATTTAGGAATTTTTATATTTCTAGGCCCACTTAGAGACGGTAATCCCCGCTTTGGATAAACCTGTTATGGTTGTTAACGGCGCCTATCGCGGATCTGAAGCTTTGCTAAGGAAACTAAACGAACGTAAATATTCGGTCAGCGTGGAGATTTTGCATGGCCCCCTTAAAGGACGAATTGTGGAAAATGTACAGTACGAAGACATATCTAAATTGTCTGGTTAAAACATTATAATTTTAAGATCTATAGATGTACTTTTACTACGCCAATTAATATTAAATGTTGAGGACTCCGACGTTTGTGATTATCGAACTTCTGCACTGGAGGGCTGAGAAAGAACTAAACTATAATCTGATAATAATTAGTTCGTAACTTAAACTTGGCCCGCCTAACATTTAGGTTAATTAAACACTTTTTATTGAAAAACTGGAACAGCGTCATTTACTCAGTATTTGTGTGTATGCAAACAATATTTTTTGTGCTTCGTTTTGGGAACAATGAAACCGCTAAACAAAGCCCGATTAACTAGCAATAACTCGCATACTTGCAAAACTTAAACTAGTTCCAGCATTCGTGTGGTAAAGTGCATGTTCGTGAAATGCGGATTCTCTGTTTTATTGTTATCCTCTTACGCTTCGGAGCATCTGAAGATACAGATGAGGATGCGGAAGGCAGGGCCGCTGGAAGCTGGTGGGATGCATTGCCTCGACTTTTGACCGACATTGGCAACACGAAAGTGAACATTCTCACAGCTGCTCCACTGGAACTGATTTCCAATGCAATTGATACTTTGTGTGAGGATAATATCTTATAATAATTAAAAAACTATTTTAAATTTAAACTAATTAAAATGGAAAAAAATTGAAATATTGCTTAATAATGTAAATAACGTTTTCTTTTAGTCTTTTGATTGCCTTAATTTTTGGAAACAACTTAAATCAACATATACATAATATATTATTCGACTAGGTTCCTCCACACTGTTTATAGGAAGAGTGCCTCCGCAAATCACTCCCGACATACAGAAAATGCATTTTCAGTATATGACTCCATGCCAGAACTACAGTGTTCCCCTACTGGAGGCTTCGAAGCTGTGGAAGCACTCCAGGTTTAGCAAGGGACGCAAGGTGGTGATCCTGGCTACTGGATGGACCAACACTGTGAACGAATCCTCAGCCATTTCAATGATATCCAAGGCATTTATGTGTCGAGGCGATGTAAATTTTGTGGTTCGTTAAAAGGGGATCGATTTTAAAATTCTGTTGTTAAAAATTCGTTAACAGATTGTGGATGCCGCTGACTATGTGGACACCTTGTACTCTTGGTCGGCTCTCAATACCGATTTAATTGGTGAACACATTGGCGTGGGTCTGACCCAACTTATAGAGCTGACTCCACTGCGAAACATCCACTTGATTGGTGAGAATGGAACACCATTTACCTGGTGACATATTTTTTTTTTAATTCTTTACTATGCAGGACATTCTCTGGGAGCTCACATCATGGGCACTGCTGGTCGAACATTTAAGCGGTTGACTGGAAAGCTGATTCCCAGGATAACTGGCCTGGATCCGGCCAAACCCTGTTTCAGGCGGGAAAACATTTTGCCGGGATTGACGAAGGGTGATGCCAAGTTGGTGGACATCATCCACACCAACATTGACATTTTGGCCAAGCGCGGGCCACTGGGCGATGTTGATTTCTATCCGGGTGGAGCACATCCCATCCAGCCGGGATGCCTGACCATTTCCTGCTCTCATACACGAGCGGTGGAGTATTTTGCGGAGAGTGCATATCCCCACCAGATGAAGAACTTTATGGGAAGCAAGTGCGATTCATGGGAGAAGCTAAGAAGACGGGATTGCTCTGAAGGAATCGTTTCCCCGATGGGGTATCAAATTAATCCCCAAGCTAGGGGCATGTACTACGTAGATGTAAATGGCTGGCCTCCATATGGTCGTAATGCACAGCAGACTATAGATCCTCGATTAAGGACTTGCTACCTTTGCCAGACGTGAAATTACAAACTCCGGGAGAAACAAAGAGAAACGCTATAGTGCTATAGTGCCTTGACTATAAAATAAGAATAATAGATAATAGAACAATTTTTAATAGTTTTTTTAAAAACTAAAAAAATGTTTTGATTTGGTCTTTTAAATTTAATTGTTTTGATTTTCAAGTATTGATATTATTAAAATCTTGAAAACCAACTTTGTATGCTTACCCAATATCCGTCGAACAAAACTGAATAAAAATCTTTGTTTGATTTGGGTGTCTTACTAGTTATGTTGCCTTATCTGATATTTTCAAGAGGAGGTTGATCAACATCGCACATATATTTTTATTTTTTTCAGTACTTAAGTATATGTATATCTAAGCTATTTTAGTTTGTACCACGATTAGTAATCGATCTCCGTAAGATCTAGGTCGTCATCAAAGGCCTCCGATATGGCTTTTTGGCTCTGCATGACGCGCTCTTGAGTTTCTGCAATCCGCCACAGCTCATCGTCGTCGTCGCCCATCAGCATGGAGCGATCTCCACAGCCCTTGATGTCTGGCCTCGCTCTGGCCCTGGGCGGAGCGGGTCCATTGGTGCGCTTTTGCCGGTTGCCCATCGTTATCTGGCTCTCCTCGAAGTAGTTGTTCGGGTGGGTGATGGTCGGCTCTACGGTGGCGTTGTGGGTGATCTGGAAGTACTTGCCGCAGCCGATCTGGTAGTGACCGCGGGACACGAAGAACATCACTTCCTCGATGGCGCTGGCGGAGAGGCCGTAGGCGGACAGTTTGCTTTTCAGCGATCCCGGGTCCATGTACCTATAGGGACAGCCGTGACAATCGCCCGGTGTGGCCATATCCTTGATGATCTTCGCGCAGGAATAAGGCGTGTAATTCACCATGGAGCCCTTCTTGCCGTAGTTGTGGTAGATGTTGTACTCGTAGCTGCGCGCAAACTTGTCCGCGTCCATTTTCTTGGTGAACTCTTCGCGCCAGAAGCGCAACGAATCCTCCAGCGACACGCCAATCCCCTTTAGGAATAGGCCGTACTGCATCCGGCCGCCGTGCTTCATGTGATGCTGGGCGCGAAGATGCTCGTGGCACATGCGCATGCACAGTGGCATAGAGGTCTTTGAGAGCTGGTCGAGCGACTCGATTGGCACCGCTGCATCCCGGCACACAGTGTAATCCTTGCCGGTGTACGAGTTGTGCAGGGCCTTTAGCATACGGGAAATGCGCTCGTCGCCTTCTACCTCCTCCACTAGGCCCTTGGCTGCCAGCAGCCCCTGCTCAATCTCGTCCTGCTGCCGAGTGCCCACAATGGAGACCAGATCGTGGGTGTTTACGTAGGCGAAGCCTGCCTTCAAGTAGCAGCGACGACCTCGCACTAGATCCATCACCTGGGTAAAGGGCACCTTGTAGAAGTCCAGCAGCTCGATCTTGGCCACACTCTGGCCCACCGTACTTTCGTATAGACCATCCTTTACCTCATCCTTCTGGGCCTCAGTAAGAGGGTGGACATCGAAATTGTTGGCCTCCAGGAACTGCTTTACCTCCGCGCTGCTGAGAGCGGCAAACTTGTACCTGAAGAGCTCCATTTCGCGGGCCACAAACCAGCGAATGAGATCCTCGGAGCGGGAATAGGCCAGCCGCAGAATGAAGTGCGAGATATAGTCCCGCCGGCGGGTCTGCATGTCTGCCTCCTGTTTGGTTCCTCCGCCGGCAGAGCAGAGCCGCAGGTAGCTGCGTAATCCCTCGCGGGTCAATTCAGCATTTACGTACTCCTTCCACTCGTCGGAGAGCAGGCGCAGATTCCGGGTGCTGGCGCGATCGAGGACACGAAGCAGGCGAAGGCGCTCCAGGGCCAATTCCTCGAACTCCTCGATGTGTATGTCGTCCGTTGGCGGATAGTGGTACATCATCACATTGTGTGGATACTTGCTCTCCAGGCTGACCACCTCCACCTTGACCTCAAGTCGCTGGCGTTTCTTCAGGCGGAATTCCATGATGTCGTGCAAGCGTAAATTACAATTTATTTAATGCAGTATTATTGTTTTGGCGCGTAAATACCGATAGGCATGATCAGCTGTTGACGTTATCATCGATAGTGCTAAAAATCTTCATCGATAGTAGGGTGTTGAAAGATACCAAAAAGATTAACTTAATTGTAGGGACTTAATTTTTTAATTTATAAATTTATAAATTTATAAATTTTTGGCAAAGTATATAAAACCAGAAAGGTTTTACTGATTTTAATTAATAACGTTTTATTTTTTCTCCAATTTATTATTATTTTATGATTAAATGACTCCTGTTTTTCATTTTAAACAGATTTTTCAAAAAGCTTTGGAGAAACTTGCAAATATTTGAACTAAACGTGTTAAGGAAGGTTTAAAATATTGTTCCGCTATATAATGAGCAGTAAGACGGTTAAATAAAATGTAATTAGGATTTATTTAAAGTTGCGATAAAATTACTTAATGCTCTAAATAAAACCAATTTTTTGTGCTCAGAAAATTAAATAAATTTACAAATTAGTGTGTTTATATTGTACATATATCTATATATTAAGCCAAACCACTTTCCAAGAAAATATAATAAAAATTTGTGCTCTTAATAATATATTTCATTACCGTGTTAGGCCTTATTACCTATGCTATATTAATTATGCGTAGTATTATCATTATGTGCTCTTCTTCATTAGGATTAAGAATAAAGGATATATATTTATTTTTCAGGTACTTGCAAAACTGACTAGAACTCTTTAAATAAAATAAGGTATGTTAATTAATTTCTAAGCCTTGACCTGTCTGGAACCAATGCCTATGACCTCAAGTGATCGTCTCAATCGTTTCCAAAACAGTTTACGCTCCTCCGATTTGGGACTTGCATCGTCCTTGCCAGCCGGCCATTTAATATAGGTTTTTACATCCATCAAGTACTGTAGAGTTTTTGGACGCTTTCTTCGGGGAATATCTTCCAGGAAAACCAGGATCAAATGCTCCTTGCTGACCTCAAAAATGCTGGAAGGGAAATAAGTCAGATTTGCTTACATTGGTAGTCTTGAAGTTTCTTTACCGATGCTGTGCCAAATACATTTCGAATTGACACCAGTGGCTTAGCAGGAATTTGGATGATATGATCAGCATTAGGGAGTATGAGCGATCCATGCAGGAGATTATATTATCTAGGATAGTCACTCCGATCTGGAATGATAATGTACAATTATCAACAACATATTCAAAAATTATAAATCTTTTGAAATAAGGTTTATTTCTAGCTATTTAAGAAGCGTAAATTTGTATTAAAAAATAAAAGATTTTTAATAAGTCTACCTGAAAGTCTCGTTCATGCAGACAAATGGATATATCCCTAGTTTCCTCCACGTTTGGTAATAGTTCGTTGAGCACCCAGGGGCGATCATTTTGGCAGTAGCTGATGAAGATGTCGTAGACGGCACTGGGATCTCTCTGGGATATTTGGGTAAAGTTATCCACCGCCTCTTTCGAGGCACTGGACAACAAAGCAGCGGACTTCAAAGATGAGTAATAGTAGTGGATATGCCAGCGCTTCAGATAGATGATAAACCCCAGGATGCAAACTCCAACTATACTGCCCACCACCGCGATCACAGTGTTCGTAACGCGATGGAGTTCCTCCGTAAGATCACTCAACGTCCGGGTCTGGCAGTCGAGCTGATCCACCTGAAGTAGATTGGTGTTGTTAAAGCAGTAGTACTGACTGGCCTCGTAGTCGAGTAGCTGGAACTTCAGGGTGAGATCGGTGTCCAGTTCCTTCAAATGATATGGCGTGGCTGTGGAGCACTTGGCGGCCTTATAATCCTCGGAAAAGATTCGCAGCTTGATAATATGATTCACCCGATTAAAGTCCTTGATGTTGCTGTAGCTCTGCTTCAACCAGGGAATGTAGCGACTCTGCCAGAGCTGACGATCAATATGTAGTGTTTCCGCACTCGTGAGTAGTTCCTTTACCCCCGCTTTCTGTGTGTAGTTCAGGAGGCTGTAGGAGCAGTCCGCATCCTTGTTATTGGAGGCTGCCACTTCCACCACCGCTCGCAAGTGGCAGTCACATATGAAATCGTTATCCCCCAGACTGAGGTAATCCAATTGCTCGAAGTCCTTTAGCATCTCATTAGACAGCATGTTGATGGTATTACTCCTCAGATTTAACACCCTCAAGGCGGAGTTATTATAGAAAACGCTGCGATACCAATTACCCACATGATTCGAGCTCAAATCCAGAATCTCTAGCGACTCCAGGGATTGAAACATTTGTGGAGTCAGGGCATTAATGTTGTTACCCGCGAGACCCAAAACCTGGAGCTTCTTTAACGACTTGGACCACTCCAAATCCTTCAAGTTTGATTGCTCAAAATACAAGTACTTCAGTGTATCGGCTATCCCATCGAAGGCATCGTCAATAATATTATACGTCAGATAGGGATTCCCCGACAAGTCCAGACCCTCCAGAACCGTATTCTTGAAGATCGCACTGCTAACCATGGGAATGGAGGTGTAGCACAGACTTAGGAACTTCAGCTTATCCCCCAGATGGGCGAAGGCCACCGCACTATTCCGGGTCATCTTCGAGTGGGACAGGTCCAAATAGATCAATTCGGGCAGTAATTTGAACGCATTCTGCTGGATCTTTAGCCCGTAGATCAAATTCAGGGCCATCTCCAGCGTGGGCAGCTGCAGTTGGTAGCTGTAGGTCAGAAAGTTGGTGAAGGACAGGTCCAAGTACTGCAATCCCTGGATGTAGAAGAAGGTGTCGTAGTTTATGGTCATTATCTTGTTGCCCGACATGAAGAGCCGGCGCAGGGAGCTGATGTTCCGGAAAGTGTCCTTGCTCACATACTCGATGCTGCAATTGCTAATATCAAGCTCCAGAAGTCGTTGTAGTTTTGGGAAAGTTGCCCAGACCGCAGATTGCGCTATATACAAAGGCAAAATTAATAGAATTTTGATAGTGCTTGGGGAAAAAGAATGCAATGATACCTAAAAACCCTTAGTAATAAACAGGTTTCGTTAATTAACAATTATTTTGTAAAACCAACAAACTATAAAAAATTAGTATAATAAAGTGTAAGAGGAAGTGGCAAAGATAATGTGGGACAATTTGTTTAAAAACCGATTTGTTAACCGATGTTTAATTAAAGAAATGTAAATGGTAAGCCCTTTAAGTACTATCTATATTTTTATCGGATAATGAGTTTTTGTGTGTAATTGTGTTTTAGCTGAGGTCTTACGTGCTTTTCCGTGCTTATCAAAGCGTTCCCTCAATAACCGAATATAGTCCTCATAGCTTATACCGGTTAGTGCTGTGTGTGTTTTGTTTGTGTTGTTTTGAAAGTATAGGTAACACTCTCGATCGTACAGATCAGTGGCATTATATGCGAGAAATGTTTCGCATTTGTGTTGTGTAGTGTAACTCATGTCCGAGCGGGCTTCGTTCAAGAACCGCTCAAAGGCTGAAAGGACGAAGGTTAACTGACCATCAGAATATGGGTGCAATCGTATTTCAGGATCTTGGGAAAGGTCATGTGAACAGCAATCCTTCTTCACCTACCTTCGGCATCTGGAATGAGGTCGGAGAAGTTGTTCCCCCGCAGCGATAAAAACTTTAAGGAGTCCTTCATGGAGTGTAGTGTATTAAACGGAGCAGCACTCAAGGTATTAAAGGCAGCCGAAAATACTTCTATCCTCCATCTAATAAACTTCCTCGCTAATTTCGTCTCACGTAACAGCTCAGAGTCATCCTTTAGGTTACCATGCGATAGATCCAAATACATTTTGTATGCTTTAAAATGTTATACAGAAATTGTATTAACTGGTTATTGCAACTAACATAGGGACTAATTATTGGTCATAATCTCATTTATTCAAGGTAACTTATGTACATATATTCAAACTTAAGTAATTGTTAAAAAAGCTTTCATATAATAGATTCTTATTAAGTTTAAAAATGTTGCTAGTAATACCGCGCTAAAAAAAATCAATTAGTTTTTATATAAAATAAATATATTTATCCAACCGTCCGTCCGGTTCGACGCAAACTAGCCTCTCAGTCTTAAATCTATGAGGATGCTTCTTTCCAAAAAGACTGATTTCTATTACGACTTATAGGAACGGATTACTATGTTTTATGGCTCCCATAGGAACAATAGCTGTATGCTCTAATATATGGTACACAAAAATGTACATGACTTTTCTATTTTTAAGCAAAGGCGCAATAAAAATTTAAATATAATCGTTTTGTACAATAATAATTTTGTAATAGCTGGGTATATAAACTTCGGCTTAGGCTTTTTTTTTTGCTTTTGTATAAGCTTGGTTCTCGAAAAAAAGGCCGTTTCAATTTTGGTAGAGGTTTCTACCTATTTATTTATTGTAGGCACCCTCTTTATCTATAGGTTTTGTACTAGCTTGGTTCGCACTAGTACCGGGTGTAAACATTTAGCAAGATACAATTTATTTTTGCTAGTAAATAGCTTTGTGAAATCAATCCATTTAATTCACCCGTTATACAAAGCTTTTACCGATAACAAGTACAATAATATTTAATGATTCTAGTGACTTTACTTAACACTAAAAACCTTTTATCAGCAGTCGATTTGAATTGCCGGAAGCGTGAAAATATATCACTTTGATTGCTGTTAACAACGCTCAATCAAAGTTTGATAGCTAACAAGTTTTTTATTGGGCAAATGGAGAGTCTTACCGAATTTTTGAGTTCCTTCTTTTAGGGTTCCGTTGGGATATAGCCACCATATCACTTCGTCTTTAATCATGTCCAATAGACACCTGTTGCCGTCATCGGATTCGTATTTCATTATCAGGGACTTCAAATCAGTTCTCTCTTTAATGTCTTCATCGGACTCCTCACTTGACGTTGACGTCGTCCAGTCTGGATCTGTGTTTACCCCGTGGATGGTCGAGAACTCAGAAGAAATAACTTTGAAATATCCCAGCAGCAGGAACACTAATAAAGTCACTTCCAATATATATTTTAAGGACATTTTCATTTAATTACGCACTAGTATTGCATGCACGAAGTGGTTATAAATTGATTTGACACTTGTGTGATTTCACAATCGTGCAGATTATGGCGTTATATTAATCGTATAAAATCGTATAGTCACTGGTATAAATTTTAATATATATTTAGCCTTATATGACTGTCATATTCGCAGGTTGTTCCAAAATGGATGCAACATTGTGATAGTTTAACACGGTGAGTTTTGGCGGAAATTTTTTATTTGCGATTAAACGAAGCACACGGTTTAGGTTCCCGAAAAAGACTGACAAGCGTGTTAGCCTGGCTATTGGTCAGCGAAAATAATTGGTAGCAGCGATACATATGTGCGGCTAATTCTGCCATGATACGGCTTATCAATTTTGGCAATATCTTTCTTTGCATGGCCCGGGACTATCAGCGTATCGCTATTTCGGTGGCAGTGTGTCCCCCGCCGCACGCCCACGCACTTATTCCTTATCGGATAATTATCTGGTCGTCGGGAAATGGTGATTAGTCCAATACTTCAATGGGATCGGTGCTCTGGATCAACCAGGTAATGATATGACTTGTTTTCAGCAAGCAAATAAATTAAGCGAAAACACCTTTTCATACTACTCAAGCACTTTGGAATGTTTGCAGTTAGAAATGCCTTGATTTACAGTGTCCAGTCAAGAGTGATAAGAAACCGTTTGGAAAATCTTTAATTATCAGTTGATCGGCGATAGCGAAAGCTTACCACTAAAACACCTTGTTGTTCAAATGGCCAATTCATTTTTTCGCTTCCCTTTCAGAAATATCATATAGGTTATTGCCCGTGAAAATATTGGCTGATAAATTGGTAGATTGGAAGATAGCGCTCCTGTGGAAGCGATCTACAACCTTATATTAATGTAAGAACAAATGGTCATGAGCTTCCCGATGCGGAATCTATTTTTTAATCTACCACTAATAAATCAATTCTTTAAATGGCTCGTCAATGCTGTTTCAAAGTACATGTTCTAAATCTTCAATCTAGTTTTTTGTTGAGGCATAGTATATTAATAAAGCGTACTTATCGTAATTCTATTTTTATTTCCATTAAGATTATTTATGATCTGATATTAAAATAACTTTATAGAATTTAAGAATGACAAAATATGCTAAGATTGACACTTAACACTTTTTCCTAATTCTAATTCAATTTTCATAGTTTGCAGTGCTACCAGAAGCCCATTTACAAACAGTACATATTTTATTCAATTTAATTTAATAATGTATATCTGAATACCTCAAAATGCTATATATTTATGGCAAACTCTATTTCAAGTTATAGTTTTTAAAAACACAACGAAAACGAAAATAAATATAAAATTTTAAGTTAAATTGAACCACGACATTGAACTTAAAAACGAACGTTAGAAGAAAAAGGAGAGACTTGCATTTCTCCTTCAAGCGTACCTTTAAAAATAACTGCATGGTACGAAAGGTTAAACATAGGTATCTAGGTGATACTTCACATCTCCTATTTGAGCCATGCTTTGGATAATAAGCACAAAACCAATGGTGAGTTTTGAGTTTCCCCTTGCAAATGAAGAACGAGATTGAAAAGAGAGTGGATTGTTTCCCGCTGGAATTTGAGTGGAGTGGGGGTCTACCACCGAACCCTGAGCTCAATTAGAAACAGGTTTTGAGTGTTCAGATCGGAACTCGGCTGGGTTCAGTCGACATCCAGAGCTGAACTGAGACGGTATCTCGCGGCGGTATCAGCGGAAGAAAGTAGAGTTCATACCTGGGATAATAGGTGATTGTTTCCGAAGATAACTGACCCGAAATCTGCGTTGCACTATGCGCAAATCGCCGGGCAGCCTGGTCTCGGAGGCCTTCTCCAGCTCCAACTCCTCGCTGAGCAACTCGTACAGCGACGCCAGCGACCTGGCCAACTGGGAGGAGTACGTGGCCGCCGACGGGAGTCTCTTCTACATGGAGTATGTGAGAAATGAGAAGACGGGCGGCTCGGCAGAGCGGCGGGTGGAGTTCATGCGCCGATCGCTGCGCCTGGGAAAGAAATCGTCGCGTCGCCAGCCGCACAGCAGCGGCAATCAGATTCAGAGTCAGAGTCAGAATCAGAATCAGAGCCAGAACCAAAACCAGTCCCACGGCCCGAGCCAGTTGGATTCCCAGACGGAGCCGCAAGAGTTCCGATTCTCACAGTTCAAGACGGCTGCCCCCGATCCCAAGAAACTGGAGCTGGTCATTACCGCCGCCGATCGCTTTCGTTTCGGGCGACGATCCACAGCGGTGGAGTCGATCCTGGGCTTCCGGGTGCTGCCCTTTCCGGACCAGCCGGAATGCCTGATGGTCGATGGATTTGTCCACGATCTGAGTGCCCTGCAGCACGGGATTAAGCGGGGAGATTGGTTCAGGTCCCTGAATGGCATTGAGTTGTATGCCAGCAATGTGGACGAGTTGCTGCAGCAGTTTGTGGAGCCCACTCAGGTGTGTCTGGGATTCCAGTCGTGCGGTGCGGCCAGCGCGGTTTCCCCCGCGGATCCTGCCTACAAGGAAAACTTGCCGGAGGAGCAGGTGTGCAAGGTGGAAAACTTTGCCATGTTCACGGAGAAGTTCGAGCAAATGTTGATAGCCGAGGGGAATTCCGGGAGTTCCCCGGATATAACGCTGCCCTTTGCCATGTTGCTCCTGCCACCGGAGTGCTATCAGCATGAACAACAACAGGACTCGCTGTACTACTTCCCGGAGACCCCGGAAAACTTCCTGTTTAAGGCCCGAGGAAGCTTCCTTACTCTCCACGCCGTGCTCAGTGAGTTGCACACTCAACCGCTGAGTTCGCGACTCCTGGTGGACCAGGTGCAGTACCATGTCAACTACCGGAGACTCAATGGCTTCCTGGTGCTGTTCGCCTACGCCGGCGGACTCTGCAGTGCGGCGGAGTGCAGCCTGCGATCGGATGAGCTGATAGGCTATATACGCTTCTCCCTGCCCGGGTTGGTCCTGGAGAGCTTTAATCAGGAGGCTGGGTCGGGAAGCAGTTCGGGTCTGAAGTTGTTTTTGCGGCACTTTTGTGAAATTCAAAGGACCCGCCTCCTGGCCAGATGTCGGGGACCCATCCGGTTCGAGGAGCTCTTGGGGCAATCGCGAAGTTTGCCGCTGCCCAAGGAAGCCCAGTTGCGCATCTTCGATGCCCTGAGCGAAATGGAGGCCATGGACTATCGCAACTGGAACGATGAGCCACTGACCACACATCGCGAGTTCTTCATTTACGGGAGTGCCCTGTACTTCGATGGTTTCCTGGTGGCCAGTCTGCTCCCGCCGGAGGTGAGGGTCAGTGTGGAGGGTTTCTTGCGCTGTCGCGGAATCTTCGAGTTGCTAGGAGCTGCTCCGGGGATCAGAGTGCGCGAGATGTACGTTTGGGAGGAGATTGTCTTGCCCAGCGCCACAGGACGCTATTTTCTCACCATCTGCACGCGGAATCACCTGAGCTTGGCGGTCATCCTGAAGATCTTCGATGCTCCGGACATGGCTCCGGATGCGGTGGTGGGTCCATCACTTTTCTACATCGAGGAGATACAGGAGACCCTGGATCACCTGGTGCAGTGTGGCATCGAGTCGCTGGCCATGTTCTGGTCCGTATCCAACAAGAGACCCGAAGTGCTGGAAGCCACTGCTGCGGAAAACAGGGATCAGGAAAAGGAGCCCAACAGCCGGCTAGAGTCCTTCCTCAAACAGAAGCTCACCGTTCTGAGTCCTTCGGTGGAGGAAGAGGCCCAACTGTGCTCGTCCCTGGGTGGATCCTCCATACACAGCCTGACCCCCAGCGAGGATGACTCCTCCCGCCGAAGATTAACCCCCATCCATGGCGCTGGCGAGGATTCGGATAGCGGTTCCGATTGGGAAAACTTTGCCGTTCAGCACCCACTGCACTATGGACTGAATCTGGGTGCCGAGAGCCACAATCAAAGCCAGATGACGGAGTCCATGTGGAAGGAGATCAACAACGTGGTGCCGGTGAAGATCTCCGCCGGGTGGAAGAATTCCGTGCTGCACTACGTCTACATTGACATAGCAAATGGGTCGCTCTTTGCTCCATTTAACGATAGTTCGGAGAGTTTCTCCTTCCTGTCGGAGATCCGTCAGGCATGTCACATAATCCACGCCGTCCTGGAGAAATCGAAGCACTATCGAAGGCAGCTCACGGAATCCACGAGAGCACAGTCGAGTTCCAATGGCCACAGCAGTCATGCCCTGTCGCTGGTCAAGGAGCACGGCCTGACCCTGGAGGCTAGCTCGCAAGCCAAGCCGGAGGGACAAACCCAATCCGTGAGGAGCAGTCGCTTCGTGGTGGTTGGTCGCTTGTTCCAGTCGCCCGCAAAGGAGGTCTACGTCTGCCACCGCTCCGATGTTCCCCAAAACATTGTTGAAATGGCCTTCCGATTGTCCTTCTTCTCCATGGGATAGAGGTTTAGTTTTGTGTTGCTTTTTTATGTTGGCATTCCCAAATATTAATTTATTTTAATTCCTTGAGAAAGTCCTGGAATTTAAAAAGCATTTTTTATGTTGGCATTCCCAAATATTAATTTATTTTAATTCCTTGAGAAAGTCCTGGAATTTAAAAAGCATTTAAATTTTTTTCGAACTTAATTCAATGAATCCATATTCAAACTGGAGCTTTAATTGCAAAGGAATCAGCACACATATTTAACTATTAATATTTTTAAATTAATTTATAAATTATTAATATTCTTGCCTAATTAAAATGGATGTTTTATATAAGGCCTATAAACTTGTATTCATCTACTTGGGAACCAATTCCAAAATCCGTTAAGAACAACAAAAAATACAATTTTTTGTTTAAGCCACATTTAAACTCGGAAAACAATTTAATAAATAAATGTCATTATTAAATATGCCTTTTCTATTTTCTTTCCCTTTAAAATAACCTAACTGAAATTCTAAAGCCGCAAGCTAAAACTCTTACAAAAATTGTATATTTATTTACATTGCTGAAAATAAATTATGCGAATGTGTTTCATTCATTCATATTTCATACTAGAGAACCGATCAAAAATGGTCACTATTTTTAGAGTTCGGTGGGAGGGTTCCATTCTAAAAGTAGTTCCACGCACCAGAAGACAAGAGACACGTCGAGCAATAAATCCACGTGAGCAAGCGGCTCAAGGTGGTGCTACCCAAATAATCTGCCTTTGCCAATTTTTCAAAATACGATATAGCCACCCACAGTTCCGTTTGAGTGTTCCACTAAAAAACATACCATAGCTGTATGCTGCTAGTTCGTTTTAGAAGATAAACGATCTAAAAACTACAATGGATAAAAGGTCAATTATATGGATCTTCTGCTTTGTTCTCTTCGCAACGGTCACGGGATTGGAGGAGGAAACCGACGCAGGGCTTTTAAACATCACCAGTAATCACTCAAATACTGAAAAGGTTTCAAAACTACCCAGCGAGGTGCAAAAAGCAGTGTGTACTGTGACTGCCGGGGAGGTAAAAGCATCTGCCGAGGCTGTCACCACAAAAACCTTGAAAGGTGTCTGTGGATCAGGTGTGTTAAGTGATCTTTTCCCATTTTGTTCTTGAATTTAACAATTGTTTGTTTTCAGACGAAATGAACACGGCCTTTCGGAATCTGGAGAATAAACTTTACGAGGAGCTTCGGGTCATGAAGCTGATTTTGGTGCATCTGGCAAAGGCAAGCGGTCTGAAAGTCAACGCCGCTACTCCAACACCTTTCCCCACTTCACTTCCACCCATCAAACCAATGAATCCCTCTGCACAGTCCCCCTTTATGTCAATAGATCCTGCTAAGAGGATAACCAATTCAACTAAATTTAAGGCTGAGGAAAACGAAGTTACCCCAGACTTCGGCGCTAAAAGGGCGCCAACTCTGAAGACCCTAGAGACGAATGGTGGCACGGATCTAGGAGCTCGAGAAGACGAAGTCGACAAGTTCAATAACACCGTGCTGGCCGATCAGGATCTAAAGCTATTCACCTACTACTGGAAACTGGAAAATGTTACGGAGCTGATTAAAGCCCCAAAATTGGCCACCGTTAGTAGCCCAATATTTAGCTTCAAGGGTAAGCATTAAAGAAGAATTGGATAATCATCAACAGATACTTGTTTATGATATAATTCCACGTTTAAATTTCTAATAATCCTTTTCAGGCAAATCATTGCAACTCAAGTGCACCTTCCATCACATGAATCGCGAGCTTCTGAACTTGCAATTAGGATACGGCATCTTTAATCCGGAGTCAAAAACAGGCCAAAGCGACAACATTTTAATGGAAATGGACGGAATATTTCAGAACGCTAAGTGGAACGAAGACGTGGCGCTGAATCATAAGATTTCCATACTGGATCAGAATCACATCCACCGAAGGACCCAGGACCTCAGTTCACAGGCTCTAAACAAGCTGGACATGGGTTTCGCCATCCCAAACAACGTACTACTGGGCAGCACGTACGTCAAGCAAAACGCTCTGTTGATACAGATTCTTTTATATTTGTGAATGACAGAACAACGTTTGTATCCGGTTGGGCAATTAAAACAAAGAGAGACCAAAACCATGTGCTATTTAAGAAGACCTTCAAATTCCTATTCCACCTTAAAGCTTGCTGCGTGCTCCCTTGGCCTTGATATCGAGGAATGGCAGGGCGATTGGGTATAGCTCCTTGCACGACTTGAAGGACACAATATCGCTAATAGGTTTGTGTCGCTCCATGTTCGTGATCTCCACTGGTTCCGCCTCGGTCGTGGCATTCTCGTCGGTTTGCTGGGACACAATGTGCACGGACAGAACGCGTCGCTCATCGCCATCCTTTGCGATAAATTTCTGCAAATGAACAAACAAGTTGTCAGATAGAGAATCATTGATAACAGGTAGTATATCCGCGCACCTTGAAGTATTCCACAAAATCGGCCTTGCTAATTTTACGCAGTATGGCCACCTCAGCCTCTTCCCTTTCGAAGTGATACGTCTGCATGGCTATTTCGCCATAGAACTGACTGAATTGCTGGAATATAGTTTTCGGCTTTTCCAACTTCTTCACCGCCAAAGCCTCCTTGTGTCGCTCGAACTCATCCAAGGGCATATCCTCAATGACTTGCTAAATATATAGGAATTGTGTTATTGCGCTGCCTGTATCAGATGGGCATTATTTATTACCAGGTAAGTTTGCAGAAAGTTCTCGATACGATCCTCAACAAAGGACGGATGCTTTGCTGACTGCACAATGATGCGAATGCCATTAGCTCCATTCACCTTACGCACTCCACTAAATACGATATAGCCCAGCTGTTCCTTTGTGCGAAGACAATCGTAGCACGGTTCGGAGAGCACCTGGGAAACCAGGTTCACCATTATATTTGTGTGATCCGTTTGTGCGCCGCACTGCAGGTAGAGCTGTGTGCATGAGCTTTTGTGGAACTCGTTCTCCTTCTCGAATAAGTAGCTGTCGCCAGCAAGCAGCTTGTACTCCCGTTTCTTCAGCATTTGACGTGCCAGAATGGGAAGTTTTGAAGCATTGGTAGCCTCCAGTCGGTTGTTTACGCGTCCCGCGATGTCCGTAGCCTGTTGCTTGGTCACATTGCCAAAAATAAAGCACTCTGTGTGCAGGCGTTGGAAAAACTCCTTAGCAAAGTTCAACACTCTATCGTAAGTCACAACTTCAAAAGAAAGATTATTAGGAAACTCACTCAGCTGAAATAATCCAAGCTGATTACTTACGTTCCATGGCGTCCAAGAGCTCCACATTCGCCCAGGCATTTTCAGTTAACAACAGAGCTAAGTAGTAGATGGAATGCTGATAGGGTTGCTCAGCCTTAAAGTTTTTCAGTGAACGTACGTATTCCTCCTTCAGGATGTCGAATCTTTTTTCGTCAATGGAGAAGTCAAAAAGATGATCTAAAAGCTTTTCCAGCAGCACAACCTGCTTGTCACTGAAACCACGAATGGTAAACTGAAAGTGAGGGAAATAGTTAAAATAGTTGGAATTCCTTTTAGTTCAGCAAACTCACATCGATGCCGCACGTCTTGCCCATCACACTGAGTTTAAGACTGGCCAGCTCCGCATCGTACAAGTACTCGTTAAGCTGATCCTTCAGCAGCATCACCATCATATGGTTTAGATTACAATTTAGGGGATCCAGATAAGCAATCGGATTAGACATGTCAAATGTCATGCAAGCCTTCGGTTTGTTAAACTGATTGTCCTGCTTGTGCCACACCCTCAAAATAGGCGTATCCATAATGATCGTAGGATGTTTGGGAGCATCAGCTGGAACGTCGGAAATGTCAAAGTTCGTGGGAATGAAACTGTTTGGCAGTGCCAATTTAAGGTTTTCATTAAGATTACAGTTCTCCCAACACTAAAAGATATTTACATTCGATTATTTTATAAATAAAATTGAAATAAGAAAATACTCACATGCACCGTATCCTTGGCCACGCGCTCCACACCATACTTGGTTTTGTAGTAGGGCTCCGCTTGATTGCAATCCTGCTCAAAACTCTGACTCACCATTACGATGCGACTCTTCGCGGGTACAAGTTCATCCAATAAACTTTTAATCAAATCCGGACGCCATTCGTTGCTTAAATATGGAGCGATAAGTACCTCCTCCAGTGGAAATATCTGCATGGAGGACACAGCATGCGTGACTAAATTCTCCGGCTGCTCCTTTTCCTTAAACCGGAATCTCATTTCGTTAAGTTTTACGCACTCGTCGAAGATCCACTTCTTTGGGCCCTCTTCGCGCAGCATTCCCAAATACTGAAACACGATCTTGACAATGTCATCTACGTGTTCCAAGCCCTCCTGTGTGAGGTCGACCACAATGTCGAAAAAGCCAAAGCCGTTTTGCGTGTTTTGATGTCCGGCCATAAGACTGGAAGAAGTAAGAGTATTAAATATGAAGTGGGTACTAAATTCAGATAAACTCACTCATTGCACCAGCCCAGTCGCCTCAGTTCGGATAAAATACTTCCCTTGCCCTCATGACCGATCAGGTGTGTCAAATAGTTATCGGGCTATAATCAAACAAGAGTTTTAGAGGGATAACTACAGGTAAATCTTTTGGGAGTCCTCTGACTGTTCTGCCACATCGCAGTGGTACCTTAAACTTACGCCCGACTTGTAGAACTGCGTCAAATCGTCTGTGGTAAAGCTTATCGTCAGCGATCGGATGTCCTTAATAGGCACTATTTTCACCTTTTGACCATAGCGTTCATCAGCGTATGGGTGACGTGGCCAATCTGGAACATCGACGTTTTTGTTCTCGATTTCTGAGAACTTCTCCAAGACCATGCTCTCAAGTTCGTCCAGCGATTCTGTCAGAAACTGATAAGTAACTAGTTGAAAGCTATTTTGTTAAAGCCAACCTTTTCCAATAACAGCCAGGCACATGATGTTGGCGGAGTACCACTTCTTGTGGAACTTCAGCAGCTCGTCCCGCACATCGATGTTTTTCGACTTGGGTATTTCCGAGAGTGTGGTCTTGTTGCCGCTGCCAAACTTGCTGTAGGCATGATCTGGCTTTGCCAGGTGACGGTTCACCTGTTTGATGCGCCACAGGTCGCTGGGCAAGTTCTTTTCGTGCTCCGAATTTACCTGAATCATAAAGTTTTTAATACTGTGAGAATCAAATCTGGAATTGTGCTCACCGCATTGATTTCCCTCTCCGTGGCGCTGGGCGTAAACAACGGGGCAATGAAGAACTGGGCAAAGCGATCCAGGGCACCATCTAATTTATCCGGTGCCACGTGGAAGTGGTACTTGGTCATCAGTGGATAAGTGGCAGCGTTGCTGCTTCCACCGCTCTGCGAAAGGTATGTGGTGTATCCATTTTCGTGCGGGTACTTCTCGGTGCCCAGGAAAAGCATGTGCTCGCAAAAGTGGGCCAAGCCAGGCAGGTTCGTAGGATCGGACATGTGCCTGCAGTGGTTTTATTTATAAGACGGGATTTCAAAAGCGATTTTGACGAAATTACCCCACTTGCACGGACAAAGCCGCCGCAGAGACATCTGTGTTGGGATCACTGATGAGCAGGACCTTCAGGCCATTTTCCAGTTGCAATCCTCTGTAGTCCCGCGTGTCCTGCAGAGACTTCTCAATATTGTTTAACCTGGGGTACACAAATCATAGCAATTAGATCACCTCCAAAACAAATGACACAGCAATTACCTCAGAATCGGCTCCATGTTGTCGGGCTTCCTGGTTGCGGACTTCTGCGAACCCTCGGCTATAGTCATTTTAGGTTTGTTCAGAGTACTGATCGATCGATGTGATACTACTATGCTGCTCCTTAGCGCACTTGACCTGTGCGAAATAAGGCGATTTAGTCCAGTCCGTTGGCGAAAATGTTATTTATTGCTGCCAACCGTCGACCAAAAACCGCTGTTAAGGCAAAAATCGATTTTCTGCACGTAAGATACATTGAGTTTTTGAAGTACAAGTAACGTCGGAACTCCGGCTTTACGTAGCGCCCCTACGTTCGAAATTTCTAAAGTGGGCGGGGTAAGTTTTTTGCCAGATGTTTCCGCGTTTTATCAATTTTAAACTTTTTTTTTGCCAAAAATTAAATTCTACTCGTTTCGCAACAACTACAATAGCATATAATCATCTGTTCGCAGGGTTGCCAACGTTCCGAAATAGGAAACTAATGTCATCCTTACCAGATCGTTGAAGTTGGCAGTAGTTCCGTTGGGGTTCCCAGTTTTGAAGCGTACTCGCATTAAATTTTACAAAAATTGACATTTAATTTCAAAATTAAAAGGTCTATGAAATGCAAAAAATTATTTATTTATTTTGATTACAATTATATATTAAAATTTAACAACAATTTTATTAATTAATTCTGCATATTTTTCCCTTTTAATTCATTTCGGTAAATACAGAGTCTGTATTACAGACAGTATAATAAATAAAACCATGTGTATTCATATATGACTTAAGAATAAATCTTTGCATATCTTGAAATCCCTGCAGTGAGTAAACATTTTCAAAAAATTAAATCCATTTTAATCTATTTATTTTTTTTACCTTAAATTAAATAAAGGAAACTTTTGAGGAACAACCGCCGTAGCAACCCTAAAAAAACGTTACAACAATAAATATCCCGTGAATTCCCGTTCTTCGATTATGTGGCAGCACCATACAACCACCCTCCACAGTTGTCCAACACTGGCCGGCTGCCGTCAAAGCGCGTAGAAGAATTGCGGGCTGTAACTGCATTTTATTATTTTATTGATAGTGCTCCTGGCAAAAACAATCACTTGCCAATCCGCCGCAGTTGTTTGCGAGATTGCAACGATGCCATATTGCCAACCGTAAAGTGTGTGCAAATCCGCAAACTGCGTCGTTACTGATGTGTGGGTGCAGAAATAAATGCAAATTGTTGTAAAATGCTGTGCTTTAGTGTGCGTGTTGATGTTGATAAGTGCAATACGCAAAAGTAAGAACATTCAGGCAAATATACGTATAATCCGGGGTAATACGTATAATTCCAGAGGTAAGTACGCTCTACGTCCGTGGATTTCGATCTGACCAGCAATCAAATTAAGTTCTAATCAAATTGTTTACCCACTAAAGCTTAATGGGTGGGTGTGTGAGTGGGAAAAGTGCAAGTGTTGGCTGCTGCGTTAAGGTTAAATATTGTTTGAAATTGAACGATTATTCTTTTTTTTCGGTTTAGAAAAGCCAAGTTTACTGGAGTGGGAACTTCAAGATCCCCTCTCAAAGTTTCAGTGCCTTTGTGTGTGTGTTAGTTTTGGTAACGGTGTTTGTGACCGTTTTGCAATGGCACGAGAAAATCAATAAGCTGGCAAAATTGAAAAAAGGAGACTTCCCAGACATGGCAAAATAACCCAAAAGATTGCCGCTATAATATGGCATACGTTAATTATGCTAATATGCTGGCGTGCTCTGCGAATTCCCGCAAACTGGAATGCATAATTACTATGCCAGTTTCACACCTCTCAAATTTTTTAGATTCTCTACAAATATAAATTTAGGTTTCATGTGCTAAAGCGAATTAAAGATTACAATTTGCAAAAATATGTTACAACAGCAATTCAAACATGTTTGAAAACTAAAACACACCTTAGTTGCAATATAAAACAATACGTTAAAATCTGCATATAAATTCAATGTAATTTTCCAAATTCACAATACAAAAATCTGTACAAAATTTTTTAAATTCGCTCATAGAACTTCGAAATAAATTAATACTGAAATCTAAACAAATTTAGATTTTAAATTTCACAATTAATATTATAAAAAATGTTCTTTAAAAATAACTTAAAAACTTTGTGACAAACTTATAAAAAATGGGTTAAGATGTGCATGAAAAAAATTATGGATTTTAATAACTTCTTAATAAATCTAATAACTTGGACTAATAGCTAGGAAGAAAGAAATAAATAATAGTAGCAAAAGTACCAGTCATTAAACTTTAAAACATTAATATTATACGTTAAATGGTTTTGAAATACAAAATATTAAACAACAATGTTATACATATCAGTAGCAGAGGGCAATCAATTTTATGGGTTTCTTTTTAAGTTTACATTTATTAAAAGATTTGGGTTTACATTCGTTGCGGTATTGGAAAAATGAATTTATTTGCCGATTGTAGGAAATACATAAACAAAAATAACCGATTGCTATAATTCATAGTGTTAACGTCTGTCCATGTGCGTCGATTCGTACCGCCGACTACATGTGTCGAGACACACTCCTGTTCAAAATAACGATCGCTTGGCTGACCCCTCAAAGTGTCTTCAATTGTATTGTTGACGTTTTGGTTTTGAAGCGCTTCCTAAAATAGAATGCAGCTCGTCGAGAAGATCGGACAATGGATTCCCATGCAGCGTGGGCCTCACGCAGGAAGAAGCGTGCTCATTATGGATTGTAGGCAGATATTTTTAGTGCAGTCCTCCAATTAAGTTCAATTAGAGACCAAAAGAGCTTATCGCTCCGTGTCTGATGTACTGGTTTTCACTTCCTCCGTGACAAGTGGAACGATCGGGGGTCAATGAATTCACTGCGATTTTATAGCCTGCGATAACTGTGTCCAATAGAGATTTATTTGTATATGATACCAAAGTTCCCATAAAAAAATCTGAGGCGACTGGGGGAATGGAAACCGTGGCAATCGGGTTTCATGATAGCGCATTGAGTTTCTTCCTAAGTAACATAAGTTTGCAGACTAAACAATAATTTTGTTAGCGTAGATCAGTTATGATTTCTCCGTAGCTGCAAGCACCTGTATAGCATATCCAAAAGCATGTAATTAAATTTATTAAAAACTTATTCATAGAAACTTTTTGTGTGGTGGAATAAGCACGGCATAAGATCACCTTTCAAACAACGTTTATACAGACTATATTGGGTCTAATTGATTATTTAGAATATTGATTATTTTGGGAGAGAGTTTAACATTTTCATTATATTGTCTTCGGAATTGAAAGTTAAGTTCTTAAAAACATGGTTATAAGATCTTGAACGATGCAGTTAAACTTATCATCATATTATATTTTTAAAATTATTTTAAACAACATTTCAAAAGTGCAGATTATCTATTTTTACGTATTATTTAAATATAATATTTAACATAAATAAACCTATTGCATTCTAGATTCCATAACCTAGTCGTGGCATTTGATTAATTGCTGAAGTGCATGCCCAAAATGGACAACGAGCAGCCGCATCAAGAGTTGGTGAAGTGCGTCCTGGTAGGGGACACGGCGGTCGGCAAAACGCGACTGATCTGCGCAAGAGCCTGCAACAAACACGTCTCGCTATCTCAGCTACTTTCCACACACGTGCCGACCGTGTGGGCCATCGATCAGTATCGCATATACAAAGATGTATGTTACCATTTCACACGTAAAAGCCCTCGCATTTACTCTTCCCTTTTTCAATTTAAAGGTACTGGAGCGATCTTGGGAGGTGGTGGATGGAGTGAATGTCTCGCTCCGCCTTTGGGACACTTTTGGGGACCACGATAAGGATCGTCGTTTTGCCTATGGCAGGTTTGTAACCATTTAAAACCGTTCAATGTTAGAAACTATAATTTTCTCTTTGACCAACAGATCCGATGTGGTGTTGCTGTGCTTTTCCATTGCCAGTCCGATATCCCTGCGCAACTGCAAGATGATGTGGTATCCGGAAATTCGCCGCTTTTGTCCGGATGTGCCTGTCATTCTAGTGGGCTGCAAGAACGACCTGCGCTATATGTACCGCGACGAGAACTATCTCTCGTATTTTGGCGAGAAGGGAACCTTTGTTCGGTATGCTTAGCTAACAGGTTTCAGCCGGTTTTCTAAAAGTTTTCCTTTTCTAATTAAAAATCTTGTGATTCTTTTTATTAATTGCATTTTTCTTCAAGTATAAATTTATTTTTAGCTTTTAAATAAAAGCACACATTTAAGAGCTAGTTCAATGTTACCAAACTAAGAAAAACTGCTTTCTTTAATTCAATAACATTTGTTAAAATCTAAATCCGATGGGTTTCGTAATTTAATTAAATTGCCAAAGCCCATTCTTTCATATTAGTCATAAAATCAAATTGACTTGGTTGTGAAAAAATCACTCAAGTACATTGAATGAGAAAATGCATTTAATTAAATTAAATGTTAACTTAAATATCTATCGATAATTAAAATTACATAATTATCTTATCTTAATTATGTAAATTGAATTTTATTACTACCATAATTTTTTTTCTAGAGCCGCATTAAAGAGTGACCTGGTTATGCCAGATGAGGCGCGTGCCGTGGCCAAGGAACTGGGAGTGGCCTACTACGAGACCAGCGTATTCACCTACTTCGGGGTGAATGAGGTCTTTGAAAATGCTATCCGGTCCGCATTGATAGCGCGCCGTCAGCAGCGCTTCTGGATGACGAACCTGAAGAAGGTACAGAAGCCGCTGCTACAGGCGCCGTTCCGGCCACCGAAGCCGCCACCACCGGAGGTCACCGTCGTGGTCGGTCACTACCGGCAGGACATTTACAACATGTTCCTGTCGCAGGCCTACACCGACCTCGTCCTGGTCGGGGCGGGTGGCACCAAGTTCGCCGTGCACAGATTCATGCTGGCCGCCGCCTCCAGCATATTCCAGCGCCTGCTAAGCACGGAGCTGACCGACATGGGTGGGCGGAGCAGCAGCGAATCAAGCATGGTCAGCTCAACCTTTGGGGAAGCCACTATAGCGGACTTTAATGACGACACTGAATCCCTGATCCGGTACGAATCACGCACACAACGGTGGGTATCGGCTGCTGATATTGTTCGGCTAATCATTGAGTCATTTGTCCTCAGCAGCATGTGGGAACACCTAAAGCGCCGCTCCAGTTATCAGGCGTTACCTTTAATGGAATCCAAAAGGTCCAACGATTTGTACAGGGAGCTGCATCATCCAGTTTTGCAGAGCATTCGCCTGGTGCACGTTGAAAATCAACGGGGTGTAAACGGACTGCAGACGATTGTCACCCTTAGCAAACTCATCTCACCGCAAGCTTTGCAGCAGTGCTTGCGATTTATTTACACCGGAACCATTGACAAGGATTGCAATAATCTTCAGGTAATGCTTCTGAGTTATGAATTCGGTAATATTAAATTAACCTCTTACTACTTTGTGATTACAGGAAATTAGAGAAGCTGCCGATCAGTTAGAACTGCCGCAACTAACTCAGTTACTTTCCAGACCACAAACTGTTATGGAGAACTCCAGCGATGAACCCAATCCGCATATTTGTCTTGTAAGAACTTTGACATACTACATAGTTTTAAATATTCCCAGTCACTAACTTTATCTTTTTCGTATTTTAGCGCATCAAAGAAAGCATGGAACGGCATTGCATCGGTGATGGATGTTTCAGCGATGTCACCTTTGAATTGGACGACGGTTTGATGAAGGTATATCATTTTACTAAGCATTTAAAGAAGTATAACTAAATTATGTACCTTTGATGAGTTGCAGGCGCACCGTGCTGTGTTAGTTGGTCGTTGTGATGTCATGCGCGCAATGTTGCTGGGTGACTTTCGCGAGGCGCATTCCAATGTGGTAGGAAATGTAATAACTGCCGCGAATTATTCAATATTAATTTAAAATCGATTTTTTCAAGATCGTATTCCCAGGCGTTACAATTTACACATTCCACAAGCTGCTGTGCTACCTGTACACTGACCAGATTCCGCCAATCTCGGCTGTCAAGTGCCTCAATCTCCTGGAGCTGGCCAACCGTCTCTGCCTGCCGCGGCTGCTAAACCTAGTTGAGTGCCGCGTTATCGAAGATCTCACACTGATTTCCCAGAACGAAACCAGTGAAACGGTGGATCACTGTCTAAAGTTGCTGGAGCCAGTAAAGGTATAAATGCATTAGTTGTTGTAACAAGAAATTGATTTTTTCCTAAGACAAATGTTATAATCATATAATTACATTTGGTCTTTAAAAAAGTTAGACCTCGAAAGAATATAAAGATTAAGTTTAAAAATTTGTATACAATATAATATATGAAAAATGTCTTGATAATAAAACATTTTATTCCAGCTGCACAACGCACATCAGTTGGCCGAGTGGTGCATGTCGTACCTGTGCGTCAATTACAACCTTATTTGTAAGTTTTCACTCAAGGGACTAAAGGCGCTGCATCAGGATAATCAGGAGTACTTGCGGGAGCACCGCTGGCCTCCAGTCTGGTATTTGAAAGACTACGACTACTATCAGCGCTGCCTGAACGAGTTGAACAAGGAGTTGAAACTGAAGACCTCGAGGCGGGAATCCCCAAGCGATGACGAAGGCTGTCTGTGCTTCACGGGCGGTAAGTGTTGCAACTGTTACGGAATTATCTGCTCCACATCCCAGCACACTTGACATCCCAGACCCAATACTCCAGTCGGAGGATCAGCTCAGGTTATAGTTTTAGTCACTTAATAACTTTCTTATTGCTAGCCCTAGAGGATTTTGAATGTATCATATTCATGGTTTGTATTCGTAGCCAGGTGTCTCGTTATGGTTTTCTTTTCCTTTTGATTTCCTTGCTCATTTACAACGACAACGCCATCATCATAATATTAATGTGCGAAATTTGGTCAAAGTATTCTCTTGCTGGCTGTTAGGTAAATCAAAGCGCAGCGGAGATGTTAGCGGAACCACGGAGAACAGCAACGCAGATAATCAGATCTTCAACAGTGCCGGCAACTCAATCAACCACATCGATCTGGAGGCAGACATGGACCTGAATCTCTGACACCCAGCCTTAGGACAAGGAAGGTATGTACGCTATATAAAATTGAACATATTAGCTACATTGAAATCTTTCAGATCACTACGCTTCATTGTGATCCTGCCGGTCCTGATCTGTTTCATCTGTACGATTCTAAGTATTTTGATACTTTTCCAAATCCACACATAACAAACCTCAAGTACACAAGATTTGGATGGGCGGGAATGGGGATTGGGAATGGATGGGGAATGGCGCGTCTGCTTTTGACATTACGCAATATATAGAGCGCAAATTTGCCTTAGTGATTACTAATACATAAGTCCAACATAGCTCGACCCAGAACAAAGGAGCATACTGCAAAGTGCTTCGGATTTCTTATATTTATACGCCTATATATAATGCAAAGCATAGACGAGTATGTATGCACATGCACCTCGGCGATGCGAAGCATTTCGCTGTATTGCCTTACGATATATCGGTGTACACTCAACCTGTTCTGCACGATTCCAAGGACGCAGACATGTGTATATCCTTATATTTGTACCTTTACCTAAGACATGTATGTATGTATATTTTTGAATTCCTACTTACGGAAACATTTGTCTAGCCATAGCCTTAAGCAATACTTTATGATAAGGACGCATTTTGTACAGAATGATAGAATAAAGCAATTACGAACAAATTATTTTTGTTATAATTTTAAATATATCAATTAATTTATTAACTTTCGTAACAGAACGGTTCACATGCCATTTACTTAAACAGAAATTAAAAAACGGTACTAAAGCCCCTGTAAAGATTTCACGGTTCTGGTACTCGATTGAGATACAGTACCATCCTCAACCTCTAGACCTTGCAGCATGGCAATCATCTCCTCGTCCGTGATCACAACCTCCGCCTTCTCGTTGTTATTGATGAGTGGCCCGAAAACTGCCGGCGATGATTCGCCACACAATTCGCGCAATTCTTTTTCGAGCTGATCCTCTTCTTGGCCCACGCCCTCCACGACGCTATTGGACATGATGTCCTGGACTTCCTGATGCTGGTCTAGAGTTTCCCGCACATCGGCCAGAACTTCGTCGACGTTGTCGTACTTCAAGCCAGAGTCCGAAAGCACTTTCTTTAAGGTATTTGAACCGATTTTGTAGGCGTCTAGCACAAGGCCACTGTTTTGTGCCTCATCGACGCTGGACAAAAGGGACTCGATGTTGTGCAAGGCAATACTGCGACGTTCTAATTAAAATACATAATAAAATATTAAAAAAAGTCAGGTAAAGATAGGTTATTTCATTGACTAAAAGACTGTTTTACTGTGAAGTTAAAAGTAAGACTTAAAAGACTTTTTTTCTTCTTTATGTACTTTTTTATCTAAAAAACCATAAAAAAAATTTTACAATTTACAAAGAAAACGCGTCTTAATTTGAAACTAATATATTCTGTAATGGGATTTAAGACAGTCTTTTCAAAAACGAGCACATTTTTTATTTGGACATTACCGTGATTTTTCTCTAGCAGATGCCTTTTCCTCAGATACGTTTTTGCCATTTGCCGCTTATTTTCTTTTAAGTACTGACGCGCTTTGTCGTCGTTTACTTTGATTTCTTCCTCTAGATCTTCCAACTGCTTGAGTAACTGGGCCTGAGTATTTTGAAGATTGTGGACGGCATGATCTTCTTGGCTGATGTTAAGATCATCGCCCTGTTTTTCTAAATTAAAAATTATCAGTACTTAAAAGAACACCGCTTTATAGTTACCAAAACTTACTTGGTATTTTGACCAAATGAATTTGGCGTACCCCTTTTTCAATCTTAAATTCCAGACCGACGATTTGACGAACATTTAAGGCTAACAAGCAAACACAAATATCTTTGTCTGAATGAATTTGAACTTCTTGGGATTTACAAAGAGATTTGAACGCATCGAAATGCATGAGTTTTCCACTGTTTTCCGATAAGACTTTTTCGGTTATGAGTTCGCAAGTATTCTGTAGGGATATTAAAGTATATAAATTGACTTGGTAAATTTAGTTATCTTGTCTAGTACACACTATGCAATAAATAAATTCTGTAGAGGTCCACAGTTTAAATATAATTATATTAAAAGCTATCAACAGCTCCCTACACTTTAAAGACATATACTTACGTTTAAGACATTAAGGTGAATCCAATCAACTAAGGAAGAGGCCTCCAGATCCTCCGCCACCACGCTGTGTTTGATTTTAGACCAGCTCCAAGAGAGGGGGCGCTTCACCAGGCTGTTGACCAGCCAGCCGCTCCAGGAATTCGCAGGATCGTGCTCGAATTCAGTGCGAGAGCGGATTTGCTTCCCCTGATGCATCTCGGATATCACGGTATCCAAACAGGCGGGAAGTTGGTCACCACGCATGAACTGCAGTTGCAGATCCCGCAGACTGAAAATAGGGCGTCCCCTGAACTTTAGGTACTCCGCGATCAGATCCTTCCAGAATTTTAGTTTTGCGTCGTAGTCCTCCGTGTCCAGATGTCGTGATCGGAACATGGCGAACTGCACCTGCATAAGGGTGTTATCCTGCCAGCTCGCTGGAAAACTAAACTGAACCTTTCCATTTTCCTTGTCGCCGCTTATGAGGCTCATCTTGAAAACTTCGGTTTCCCCTGGATCATAAGAATTGCGCGTCTTTTGTGCGTGTGTTATTGCTGGCCTGTTTTGTCAGCTGTTTCAAGGTGTTGCAAAATGATTCAATATTTTTAGAGCTTGAAAGCGAAATTCAAAAAAACGGTTGAGCAATTTTAAAATCAGTTAGTTAAATAAATAAAATGGCTTCGAACATATTAATCAATTGGGTATAATCCATTAAAGGCAATGAACAATACAAAACAATATTTAATCATGGGTGTATTTAAAGAAGTATATGTATTTAAAGGGTTTTTGTTTTTTGTTTTCAAATGATTTGTGATTTGTAAATATAATTTTTAAGGGGCTTCAAATTTTAAATTGTTTAATGTTTAACGTAACGTTAACGTTAAATAATTTTTGGCCACTTTCCAGCACCGCAACTTTCGATAACTTGGATATCGATTTACTTTCTTTCCATCCCGAATCAGCTGTTCCAATTCAGGCTACTAGATTAACAACTTCTGACGAAAATTTTGTTTTGAAGTTTTTGTTGATTGTGCGAGGAGCTTGATTCGACTTGAATTGCCATTGGAAAGTAACACCATTCCAGAGGACTCCGCGAATGCATGGAACACGTAGCTAACTTGGTCGAGCAAGGATTCCCACAATATCGATGAGAGCAGCACAAGCAGATCCCAGCCCCTGAGTCACGTTCTTAGTGTCTTTCGCCACGGTCCATCGGCAGTTCCATCCGCCCACTTTCCCCGCTAAGATCTCAGACCCTGGAGAAGATTCTTGATTGCGTGTGGTTTTCCCATTGTTCCGCGCTGCACCGACTCCGTTTAATTGATTCTTGCAATTCATAATGATGGAGGACGACCAGATTAACCTGCGCAATCAGTTGGCGAGGGGTAAGTCGAGATATCCCAAGAGTCTAGAATATTGCATCTGCATCTCGCAAAGTCAAATTTCCAAAGCACTAGAGAAGGTCCATCCGATCTGCAATATATCATTAACAACATAAAACCTTAACCATGGATGTGGAAAAAAATAGTCAGACTAAGAGTTAAACAGCTACCAAACAAATCTTAAATTAAATTACTTATGTTGTTGCAATTGAAAACAATCAAATAATTGTTCCTTTTTACACATTTTTGTTTTTAGTGGATAAGTGAGATGCTTCTATAAACAGGTGATTTTGATCTGTGTACCTACAAATAAACACTGCTAAGAAAGTAATCACATGATGCTTGGGAGCAAAACCCGCATTGAAAGCTTCAGTGATGTTTATTTGGCGGGATACTATATTCTTCTTTAAAAGCCTATTTGGTATCTATTTTCAAAATAATAATAGTAATTTTTTAAGAAGCGAATAAATAGGCAGATTAAGAATAAAATATCATCCTTAGTGAGAAAATAATAAAGAAACACATACCAAAATTTCAAAACTTTAAAAACAGTAATTTTAAAAAGTATGGCTATGCGTGCCTTTCATAGAGTTTTACAACAATAAATATAAACATTTGTTGACTTCAACTTTGAGGAAATTTAAAAAGCTACACATTTTCAGCAGATCTGTATATTTTGCACTTTGTTAAATAATGAGAACGAAATTTTTCTATAGTCCGAAAATTGTCCATTCAGCAAATATGTTATTATAATTTTTTGGTCTGCCGCAGAATTGGCACACTTCCATTATGACTGTGATCATTTTTCACGGAATCATTATAACCGTATTACCCTACTTATAACGCAACATGCTTTGTAGGTACACAAATAATATCAGATAAGATTGGCTAGTAAATCACTAAACACATATGTATGTATATGTAGCTAATTAAGTTACAATCGAAATCAGTGTCTGCATATAGAGAGAGAATGGCTAGTAGATTTTCCCCAAACATATGTATGCATGATTAGGGATCAACTTACCAGTTTTTTTTGGAAGGTTTCTCCGTTTGGAATTTGAACTAATTCGACTCGTAATCAGGGTTCTTCAATCTTATCACGCCCTCTGCGCCTGCGGAGAGAGTGTACAAGTGCCACAAGTTCGCCATGAATGCCCAGATGATTGACTATGCATTGGCTAGGAATTTTACCAAGTTACCCGAGGTAAATGCAAACGCAGACGGACGTAATAGCGATCACATACGTCGTAGGGTTCACACTGGGTCGTCGCTGCTCTGACTGTGTTTTAAATGTGTTTTCTTAATGATTAAGTTCGGTTCGGCTCGCCGATGTCCGCTCATTAATACGGATGGCGATGGCAATATGTGTGCCCATATGTACACATGGCGTTCAGTTCGTCTGGAGCTTATACATATGCGAAAGCCGCAGCGCAGCCGCTGCCGCTTCGGGCAGTAAAATTTCATTCAAACGCGTTTCACGTCTGTTTTCGAACGGTCAACAACGGATGGGATCGGATCGCGCGATCGCCAGTTGTCGCCACCGCCATAACAACACTCACTCGCAGCGATTTAGAAACCTATGAATTGAGCAAACAACCATCTTCAGCGGCTGGCCAACGGTCCACTCCCCTTCCCGCCTGTGATAAGTGCCCGTCTCCGAACTTATAATCCCCTGTGTGCCAGCAAAAAGCTGTGAAAAAAGCAAACAAAATGAAAGTCCCCACGCGCAACTCGAAATATTCATTCAATTTGAAAATATTCAAATTGCATAACGATAAGAAACCGACCAGCAGCCCCAGTCCACCGACCTCACCTGTGATCTCAGCGAAAAGAAACTCTTGGCGCGCTTCATGGCGATCGGCCTTGGGTTCCAAGAGCAAGTCGATCCCAACGTCCTCGGACGACAGAGACCCGATCGAATTGGAGGCGGAACCAGCGTTTTTCGAGAGGGCTAGATGCCACAGTTTCAGCTCCTCCTCCTCTTGCACCGATCAACTGTTTCCCGCCATTCAGATTCCCCAGGGCGATGAGCTTATGTGTAAGTTTGAGGGAGTTCTCCTTAAGTTTTATGAGAGGCCAGTCCGACAGCGCTCCAAATCCCCCTTTATCCATTCAGATCAAACTGAACAAAAATCATTTCACTTTTTCAAAAATGTATTAGGTTATTATTTGTTCTGTTATTTCAAATTTAATAAATTAAAAAATAAATGGTATTTTCTTAGTCTGTTGTTATAAGTATACATTTTGTTAGAAAGCATTAAAACTTAGAAATAAAATAAATAATTATTATGGTGATATTACGGTTTTGCTGACATTTAAAATCAAGAAAGTTAAATGTTTTTAAAGGAGACTACTATCCAAGCAAGTAGAATTCGGAAGACTTCTAAAGAATTGATAAATAATAATTGATGTGGCTAAACCAAACTCAATGAAGTCTTTTTTACTACCAAAAAACAATTATTAAATGCTCCAATTCGATAGTGATATTTGGCGTAATGATATAAAGTTTAGCACGACTCTATTTATTGATAAATTTAAGTGAAATTAGTGCGTTATATAGATAAATATCTAGTATTATCGTCTATTAAACACGCAGGTAATTATAATGTTTAGCATTGGTCCTTTCTCTGTACAGGCTAACACACCCAAACTAATAAAGAAATGATAATACTAATGAATTGGTCAAATGGAACAAGTGTTTTACATAATCAGATAAATGATTAATTCAAGTGAAATTTGTGGGTCACTTCATTCGATCTTTGCTATTATCGTCTATTGTACCTGCAAATTTTAAGGTAAAACTCACAAAAACTAATTCGTTTTTGTTGGAATATGAAGTATATACTGTTAAGATAAGAATCTCGCCAATCTTGACATCATCAAATTTTAAGTTAGGATTGTTAAACGGCTTCAAGTGTTTGCATAAATAGATTTCGAGTTAAAGTTGATAAGATATACATACCTCCAGGGGACCTTGCAAATTGCTAATCGACATGTGAAGATCAGCTAAATTTGGCGGAACTATACACCTGTAGTGTAATGGGTGTTGCCCGCTAAATGGTCAATTCCCTGGTCAAATCAATGGCAATACCAGACCACGATAAGCTCCGTTCCCGGAGGGCAGATAAGAAAGGTGTGTTTAGCCGGTTGCGGCGCACATGCGTTCATTTCGATTCGACTCCCCAATTCGCCAGTACTCAGCTGTTTACGGCTAATATATTATCCGGCAGCCAGTCAGTCAGTTGGAGTCATCGACGTGTCGCGCTTGGTTGTGGCGTCCGAGTGAAATGTTTCCGGTTTGAGTAATCTACATAGCATACAGGCGAACTGTGCTCGTAATGAACTAAAAGTTATAGCGACTTGCACATCCACACCTAAACGAAAGCTCCGTGGCCGTGGAATATACACCTCAAATACGCATTGCCCGGGTCTGTGGGCTGGGCGAAGTCAAATAAAAATTAAGCGCGTTACCAGTGATTACACGACTGTGTTATGTGCAGTGAATTCTATACTCGAACGGAATAAACCAGCGCAATTGCTTCAAGGGTTACATCATGCCGGAGGTGCTACATTTTACATCGATCTTTGATCTCATCATCAAGAGCGGTGCGTGCACTTTCAAAGTCCAATTCGGTTCAGTAGACACCACTTAAAAGAAACTGCCTAAGGGAAACCTATACCTAAATGTTTTTTGTAATAACAAATTTGATTGGGTAACATTATTTATTAGCTTAATTAAATATGTTTAGATGGAAATGAATTAATCCACAAATATGTCAAAAAACACCTTTCAATTAACCTAAATTTAACTTTACTCATATTAAAAAGGTTTATTTAAAAAAAGTTAATAAAATAGAATGAATTTTAAAAAGTGATTTCTACACCATTCCCAATTATAATTTAACCATTATATCACTGCAAAACTAAATGGTGATTGCTTTGCAAATAACTTGAACTTATGAACTCTTTTTTCCTAAAATAGCAGTTTGGCATAAAGTTACCCTTAGCCGATATCTACTGTATATGATAAACAGATAATGTGAAGTACACGCGAAACAACAACCTCTAGCATACCTGTATTGTGACATAGTTTGGCGCCGATTCGGTCTTGACACCATGAACCGCTTTCGAACATTTAGTAGCTTAAAGGTTTGACTTTTTTTGCTCTTGTAATGTTTTGAAACTTGTTGCTTTGCTGCCATTGAATCTGTGACAAAAACTTCCCGAACATGTTTCTCTAGTTGGTTCAGACAGGTTTAAAATTACAAATCAATCAGATTTATTGTATAGTGTTGAAATAGAATAACTATTGCCAGCCCTGGTTGCTATGCTCCAGGAACTGAACAAAATTTGACAGTAGTTATTAAAACATTTACAAGTTTCGCAATGCGTCTTTTGTAAGCCGGGGAATTTACGGATGCCGCTTAATATTTATTGTGCCTGAGATGTGCCTCCAAAAGAGACTCTTTAGTTGTTACTGTTGCTATTTCCTAGATGCAGGTAGGTCGATTTTAATCTAGGGAACTTTAGGAACAATGGACAAATCAGCAAAAACAATGTATTAATATCGGAGTGAGCACATAACTAATGGTTGCAAATGTAACATTTCAGCAATGCCATGGTTTGGTATGGACATCGGCGGTACCCTCACGAAGTTGGTCTACTTCGAGCCCAAGGACATAACGCCGGATGAGCAGGATCGCGAGGCTGGCATTTTGCGGAATATCCGGCGCTACTTAACCAAAAACTCGGCGTACGGCAAAACCGGACATCGAGATACGCATCTACAGGTGAGATGAAGCAACTATAGAAATGTATATTTGCCGATCGTGGAATGTGGATGTGTGATTTTGTAACAAAGCGCGCTGACGCGGGCCATTAGCATCGGTATTATCATCTGGAATATTATCAGCCCCAGCGCCCCGAGTAGCGATATTTGCGCGTCCACCCAACAAGTCATCTTGTGCGGGTCGGAACGGGTCGTCTGGTGATTTAACACGGGCACGGGTGCCAGGGCTTTCGAGTGTGAGTGCCTCTGCTGTGACCTTCACTCTCGCGCACTCGCCGGCACAGAAAACAAAATTATACTATTAATTGATTAATAATAACACTTAATCTTAATCGTAACTCTTTTACTCTTAGTACTCTTAGTTTACTCTTAGTAAAGAGTTCGTTTTAATACATTTAAACAAAAGTTTCGCATTCTACAAAAAAGTTTGCATTTTTTATTGCTACCTTTTTTGTTTTACGTGTACCACACTCTAATCTCGTACAAACAGGATTCCTTTGTTTACCTTTATAGCTAAGTGATTCACTGTTAAGTTTATTCGTTTGCTTTGTTTTAATTAAAATAAACGTTTAAATATTAGTTTAAATAGAAAACATTAACACGGATGTTCAAATATAGGTCATTGATGGTTTTAGAATAAAAACAAACATACAATTTATGACAATTCAAAAAAAATGTAAGGATAGAATAGTCTCTGTTTATTTTTTTTTAAATTTCTTATCGAATTACAGATAAAAAGTTTCTCACAAAATATATATATTTATGTTAATCAATTCCGAAATTTGATAGCTCAGAATGTTTGTTGTCAATTTAGTGATCTAATTTTAAACTCGGGGTTAGTGCCCTACCCCAAAGTAGTTGATTATTTAAAGACTGGTGTGAAAAGTTTTGCACTATTCAAATGAACTATGTCAATTTACAGACGCTCACAGTTGCTTGGTAGTTTAATTTGCATTTTTGTGTACAAATTACCCTTGTACTTAAACTTTGGATACCTTAAATAAATGGCGAACGCCTATATATTCCGTTTATAACCTAGGAACAGTTTGAAAAGCTTGCGCGGGGTGAACGTTGACTTTTGTACTTTTCATTTTTATTTTGTAATGGGTTCAGGAGTCTAATTTTCATATTTATGAAGCTCATTTAACCCTTGCGTTTGCGAATAAATATATAGTATAGAAAAATATTAAAGGAATCTTAAAGCTACCGAATTTTCTTTAAAAATCTTATTATATTATGTTAATGATATTAATCAAATAATATAATATGAATAATAAAAATATATATAATTTATAAAGACTTTTTGATTTGAAATGCAATTTTTAAAGTTAGTTTTCCTAGTTTGTAGAAATTTTATTTACCGGACATCATTCAAGTGTTCAATATTTTACTTTATACTAAATGATTTTCTTCATAATTGTTTCTTTCAGATGGACAATGTAGAGATCCGTAAGAGACGTGGCTCGCTGCATTTCATTCGCTTCCAGACCACCGACATGGGCAACTTCCTGTCGCTGGCGAAGCAAAAGGGCATGGCCGAGCTTGTGACCACGGTTTGTGCCACCGGCGGTGGGGCCTTCAAGTTTGAGCAGGATTTCCGCGACCAAGTCAACATGAAGCTGGCCAAATTCGACGAGCTGGACACGCTTATTAAGGGCATTCTCTTCGCCGACCTGCACAACCGCACTGAGTGCTACTACTATGAAAACGCACGTGAGATTCTGTAAGTGGAGTAAGTGATGGCTACGAGGAGTTTCTAACGACTTAAATTTACCAATCATTTTACAGAAAAAGTGAGAAACGACAGTTCAACTTCTCCCAACCGTTCCCATTCATCCTGGTGAACGTCGGCTCCGGAGTCTCCATTCTGGCCGTCTACGGACCCGACAACTATAAGCGCATTTCGGGCACAAGGTAAGTCAGCATTGGATTCCCTTTTCCATTTTAGAATCCAATATAATCTCGATTATTCACTTTGTATTAGCTTGGGCGGCGGTACATTCCTCGGACTGTGTTGCCTTCTCACCGGCTGCACATCCTTCGAAGAGGCTATTCAACTGGCTACCAAGGGCGACAATAGAAAGGTTGATAAGTTAGTTAAGGATATTTATGGCGGCGATTACAACCGCTTTGGTCTGCCCGGCGATTTGGTGGCGTCAAGGTATAACATCCGGAAATGAAAACTCAAACACCCAGTCATAAATATGCTTTCTATTTCCAGCTTTGGTCAGATGCACCTCAATGACAAGCGTGTTTCAGTATCACGAGAGGATTTGGCCAACGCTACACTAGTAACCATAACGAACAATATTGGCTCCATAGCAAGGATGTGCGCGCTGAATGAGAAGATCGATAGGGTAAGATTGGCATTTAATTAAGGGAAGACCACTCAAAATAAGAGAAAGCTGTTAATATTGTCCTGATTCAATCTTGAGTGCAATCTTAATCATCAAGAATTCGATAACCTCATCTATAACCACCTCCTAGGTCGTCTTTGTGGGCAACTTCCTGCGAGTAAACCCCATTTCCATGAAGCTGCTGGCGTACGCCATGGAGTTCTGGTCCAATGGCACAATGAAGGGTCTCTTCCTGGAACACGAGGGTTACTTTGGTGCGCTGGGTTGTTTGCTGCAGTTCAACGGTGAGCTGGCAGCCGCCCTCAACGACGGAGTGGAGCATCCAACCCACACAGCTTCGGATGCCAGTGAGGGCGTTTCGAGTCAGGATATAACGACGGTTTCATCGGCTGATGAGCCACCAGAGAAGTCTCCGTTGTCGCCAACAAGCAATCACTCCACTAGATAGTCGCTGTAGCCACATGTTCCTCCGAAAGGCACCCGAAGACGGCCATCCGATTGTAGCGCATGTACAGTAGACCTAAGATCAATAAGGCAATAGCAACGACTTTGATCCTATGCAGTTTATCTCGATATTTATCGTACTTCTTTCTCGGCTTTAGTTGTAACTTGAGGACGCACAAAATGTAAATGCATGAAGAAACTGTATGGATAAAGTGCCTGCTAGCAAGCAACGAATTTTGGCCCAACCAAATGCCGAAACACAATTTATTTTATAATTTTCCCCTCGCGTAACATTTTGCGATATGTTACTACCATGCAGTCTTCGTCATTTTTGGTAGTGTTTAGTTTTTTCTACAGTGATAGATGTTAGCTCTCGGAAAAGTATTATAAATACTTGACAGCGGAACCGCAATTAAAAGTCTCGCGCGCAACAGACAGTTCAAGAGCATGTATTGCATACACGTTGTCCTTCGACAATATGCATGCATACCTATAAGTTTTTACCTTAACGTTTGTGTAAATGATTTAAGTGGATGTTTTAAAGTTTCATTTTTAGAATATAAGTTTGTGGTCATGTTATGATAGGATACAATTTGTCGGCAGGTCAATAAAACTTGTTTTAAAAGAATTGTTGGAATAATGCATTTTCAAAACAAGAGGGTTTCACATATTTCATTCATTATTTCCTTTGGGGGGTGCTCGAAACCAATGCAAAATTGGCTTTTACCTATAAAGTAAGGTTATTTCTAGTGCTGTAAAATATTTTTTTGTTAATATTACAATTTTTAACAAACATTTTTTTAAAATTGAATATTAAAACCATTAATGATTAACTGGTGTAATTTATATTTCGTTTTAGCAATTTGAATTCCATAACTAGTACTAAATAATTATTATCTAAATAAGTATTATGACTCTTAACTAATTTAGCAATGATATAGATACAATATTTTTCGCAAAAAGGCTCAGCTCTCTGACTCCTTTTTGTTGCGTTAAACGTCGAATATTGGTCCAAGACAATATTTAATTTTATAACTTTTTTGACAGTCAAATGTTCATAATTATTTCTTTATTTGTACATTAATGTTGCTGTAGTCCCTCCGGATTCCACAACTGGCTTTGAAGTCAAAAATGCGCAGATTATGATCAGTGGCCACAAACATATATTGGCTATCGCAGGCAAGGCTGTAGACGGGCGATAAACCATTGTGTTGCCGCGTTCGGCCCGGGAAGTATAATTGAACATATTTTTGCATTCTTATATCGTAGAGGTTGACCCGTGCATGTCTGTTGGTACCCACCAGCGCCGCATACAGTCCGTCGTACTCCAGGGAATAAAAGGAACAGTCGAACGGGTCCTCCCAGATAGCTACATCCCGATCGATGCGTTTATCAAACATCCGAAACGTCGTATCGTAGTTGGCCGTAAAAATAACATTGTCATCTTTAATTTTTAGGTCGTAAATGGACATTGTGTTAGAGTTGAAAACCAATTCCTCGCCACTGTTAGAAAATAGAATGTTTAGCTTTTAGAAATCAAAAAATTTGCAAAAAAAAAATTTGGCCAATACATAAATTAAATCCAGAAAAAAAGCTAACTTCGGGCGAAGCCGAAGTTGATATCCCCTTGCTGAATATTTTGTAAGTTATGGTATTTCCAATCGTTCAGTTATATGGCAGCTATAGGATATAGTATAAATAAAACCCGTAGAAAATCCCAACACCAAAGTAATGGCATTTCCGATCAATCAGTTATATGGCCGCTATAGAATATAGTCGACCGATCCCGGCATCGTGCAAAGGAACGAAGGGTGTGTGCAAAGTTTCAATTCGATATCTTTAAAACTGAAAGACTAGTTCGCGTAGAAACAGACAGACAGACACGCGACAGGCGACTCAGGTCGCGATCCTGATCAAAAATATATAATATATACTTTATAGAGTCGGAGATGTCTCCTTCACTGCTTAGCAAATTTCGGTGAAGTCAGCCAAGAGCAAAGTGTTAGAGGTTACCTTTCCACGTGGACGGCCCTCAGGGCCCTGCGATTCTTGTCCGTGTAGAGACCCCCATATAGCCACTGGCCATCTGAACTTAGTTCCAAGGCCTTAAACGCATTCGGCAGCTTCATCACCATGTCGAAGTGCGACAGTCCGAACTCCTGTGATCGCTGCCACAGTTTGCAGCAGTTATCGGTGCTGGTGGCGTACAGATCATTGACAAAATCCACGCAGAACAGATACTCGTTGACCGCATGCATCCTTTGTTCTGTGATGCCATCCGCATCGTAATGGAAGCACGATCCGCACACTCGTCCCGCGAATATGGTATCCTTTTTCTTGACGAAATCGGAGATGTCGCTGTGGGTGGTCGTACTGATCTCTTTCTCGTATCGACGAAGCAGTGCATCGCAGCTGGAGCGCCGGTACTTGCGCAGGTAGCCCGCATGGGTAATATACAGGGCGTCCGCCTCCAGGCACAGTTTCGTGGGGAACATTTGGGCATGGTGGAAGTATGGACGTTCGAAGTAGGTTCCACTAGTCCAGTTCTTCGAGACCTGAATTCGATCATAGTTGCTCAGGCGGGTTCGATTTCTGGAGATAGATTCAAAGGGGTAATATTTGGGTGTTATTTCCCCTGTCTCATCACATACCTCTGCTCGATTCTCGGTCTATTCCGGTGGCCACAGAGCAGCAAGTCAATGGACTGAGGGTAGTAAATGTAATTGTCTATTACGTTTTCCAGAAATCGACTCGCCAGGGCCAGGCACAGCAGTTCCCCCTCCGAGCAGTAGGCAAAAATGTGCAGCAGACAGTCGACTGTGAGATCTGTCAGCCTTAAATCCGATTTGTGCATCTTTTGCTGAACACTTAATAATTTAAGGTTTTGAGATAAGCATTCTTAGTCAAATCAAAATCTCCATTGGGAATGGAAGCTCGTCGATTTCCACAGAGTACCGATAATTCTCTATTTTTGTTTTAATTTTTAAAGGAGATTTTCCAACACTTAAACGTTACCGTTAAATTTCAAAATAGTTAAGAGGCAAATATTAATGTTTATTAAGCCTGATAAATGTACAGCAATGTGGGTATGTAGGACTTGACCGGTCAGATGCTCGCATGAGAACTCAGAGTATTTATACTCGTTACTCGAATTTAGTAAAACCTCTGAATACAAATATTCCCATGAATCCACGTGTCTTAATTGCAAAGAGTAACGTAATTAGACCTGCAATTGTGAAATTCAAAATACACGTACATATCTGCGCATTTATACAGTTTCATATATAGTCGAAAAATAATACAAAATAATTACATGTTTGACCTTGTTAGCAATCTAGTTTCACAAAATCTCAAATCCAACAAGCTTATAAACTTACTTTAAACAAGAAAGGAAAGCTAACTTCAGGCGGAGCCGAAGTTGATATACCCTTGCAGAATATTTTATAAATTATATTCTCCTAAATGATTCATATGATGCATTCTTAATACTCATAAAAAGTCCCAACTTCCTAACTTAAAAAACACCAAAGTTATGACATTTCCAATCGTTCAGTTATATGGCAGCTATAGATATAGTCGACCGATCTGGCTCGTTCCGACTTATATACACCGCAATAGAAAGACAACTTTGGGAAAGATTCAAGCAGATAGCTTTAAAACTGAGGGACTAGTTTGCGTAGAAACGGACGGACGGACGGAGAGACGGACGGACAGACGGACAGACGACAGACGGACATGCTAGATCGACTCTCCTGGTGATGCTGATCAAGAATATATATACTTTATAGGGTCGGAAATGTCTCCTTCACTGCGTTGCAAACTTTTGACTGAAATTATAATACCCTCTGCAAGGGTATAAAAATCATTTAGAAAAGATATTGCGTAATTTACCTTTTTTATTTAAATTGTCTGTTATATATGTATCTAACTTATTGCAACATAGTGAAGGAGAAATTTCCGACCCAATAAAGTATATATTTTCTGATCAGCATATCCTATCGATGTTGACATCCGCCTGAATAAGACTTTCCCAAAAATCTTTTTTCTTTTATAGGTAGTGTAAAAGTCGTAACGGTCCGGATCGGACGAATATATCACATAGCAATCGGAAAACTTATCGGAAAAACAACATAGCGTCATTGTTTTTATGTGCGTATAGCACTGAAATTAAAATAGAGTCGTTAAAAAAAAATGTGTAATAGCTTCTTTTCTTGTTTTTATTCATGGCTTAACAAAGTTAGACCTAAAATCAAAATTTGAACTTTCTTTGTATTAATTAAAAAAGGTTTGCGATTAAATAACTTACAAAATTCAAGTTAATCAATACCGCCACGATTCGAGCCATTGAGCTTTTTAAGCTCTTATATAAAAGCTTTGTATTCTCAACACCTCCTACAAATTTTACTTATTTTTAATTAAAGAAAATACATTTCAAAGGAAATTTGTTTATGTAGTGTTTTGTTGTTCATAAAGGTGGAGATTTATTTATGGAAGCTAGACTTTAAGGGTCCACTACGATAAATGACAACTTCGAAAATTATATATTGCTTTAAAAAATTCGCATTGATTGATGTAACCCGACTGAAATACGCGAAAATAAATAGACAGGAACTGCACATTTTGGGGACAGAAGTCTAAAATACACAATTGTGCGCACAAATGGGCCATGCGTACGACCACGTACTAATACATTTGCAACAAATTAAAAGTATTTAGAACACTGTTTCCGCAATTAGGCACGAAACTGCCGAGATTTTTGCGCTAAATACCTTAACTGAGCATTTGATTGACTTGAAATAGCGTACATACTGTCTGATCTGTCTAGAAAGTATCTCGTATCTTGCTCGCAATTTATTTACGGCAATATCTATATAAGTGAGTGGGATATAAGGTTTTAACTACTTGTGGAGTGATTTGGAAAAACCAAATAAAAAGTTAACCATTTTCTATTACCTATTAGTTACTGAAATAAGTAAATATAATATTGTCTATTGAGTAGACTAGTACACAATATTTAGTTTATGCAAGATAAGGCAGGAGGGAATAAAGAAATTGTTATTCAGAACAAAGAAGTATACGGGAAATCTTGAGAATAGACACGAAGTCATAACAAAGAAAAGTGTAACGGCTATTTTTGGGTCAGGGAAAGTAGCGTAACTGTCACTGTTCAGGTCTACTTAATTGTCTCCAAAGCACTTAAGCTTTTAGAACCTTAAAAGTGAATTTATAACTGGGCTAGACACTTTTATCTAGTTCGCCCTTGTACTTTCCATTTAACATATTTTACATTACCTATTAGAGGATTGTTAAAAAGTATTTCATGGTGTCAAATATTATCTTGAAAAAATATCGTGACTTTTATGTTAGTAAGGAATGCGAATATTCTGGATCGTTCATTCCGTTCTAAAAAGCCCGTTAAAATCTTATCAAACTGAAAGTGACAATGGGTTTTACCTTTCATATTACAAAGATCTTGGGAACTCGAAGTGTTAAATACCTATCTTTAATTTTAATGAGCTAAAATAGGATAATTAAGCAAATATAACATGTAAAGTCCTTATCCTAATGAAAGATCAATGATATATATAGTAGTCATAAATACTAATACTAATACTTTCATCTAGAACAGGAAAATGTAATACGGTTCCAAGAATCAGAAATTAACAAAACAATACAGATATGTATACATATTTAAATGATAATATCTTTTCAGAATGGGTAATTTCCAATGGGTATTTTCCAGTCGGTTTTAGAGCAATCGTGCGTATCTAGGAAAAGTTCATGCGTGGCACTGAGCTCCAAAAATTGATTGTCACAATCTGAAGGTGACGTCGTCGTCAGCAGTTTTCGCGTTTTGCGCAGTTCTCGTTCTCTCTCGTCGACAATTTCATAATCTGAGCAAAGTGCTCGGCCACAGGTAAAAATGGTCGAGCACACACAAACACTAAAAGCGGGCCATACATGCAAAAGCCCATGTCACGTCGGCACATCAGATGACAGTCGTGGGACCTCCGCATTCGCAGCTATACACAATATTAGTTTATTGTTATTGTAGAGCAAAGTCACAAATATTTCCGTAGCCAAAGTCACGTTCGCCAACCTGATAACTTAAAGTCACTTGGTTGCATTATCAACTTGGGAATCAACAAAGTAATTGCGAATCTCGCAGCTGAGACTCAATAGTATTCTGATATTCCACTCTCAGAATTCTCTCGATCATTAGCAATTCTAAAAAGGCGTAAACCCTCCATTTATCACCTTTGCAAAGCAAATAGATTAGACTGGAAAAACAAAATAGAATTTAGGGTTTGTTTTGATATTTTGTCAAAAATATTTATCTGATCTTAATCAAATGTTGAATGTTGTATTAGTAAACAAAATGACTCATTCTTACTCGAACAATCTGGCTCTTGACTCATTGTTTTCATCTTTTGTACCATTCCAGTTCTTCGGAATTGAAAAGAATACACAAACAGTTTATTTTATGCTCAACTGATGACTATATGTTCTATAGAAATTATAAAAACCTTTAAAAAACGATTGAATTAAATCAATTTTCAGCAAAGTCCACAGGGCGACACTTAAAAAATAAAACCTTAACTAAGCTGTAGCGTAATTAATAAGTCCCCAAAACCCCATAAAAAAACACTACTTTCAGTAGTCAGAATTATTCTTGGTGAGATCAAATTTCAATGTATTGTTTTTTTCACGATTTTCACTTACAAGATTTTAATTATAGAAGAAGCGTAATACAGAAGTATTAAATAATAAATAACAATTTGCATTCGTTGCATTTTTTAACATGGAAACTAATGTGTTTTAAAGCCCAAAAACAATTCAGGGCGACTGTCCTTTGATAAGATCAACAGTTTGCAAAAAAATTAAAATGTTAAATGTATTGTACATAGTAAGGTTTTAGGAAGAATCGGTTGCAGAGAGGAGGCTGCGGAGCGGCGCGATTCTTGAACGGATCGGGGCCGCAGCGCGATTGGAAGGCAGTGAGTTCTTGTGTGTCTAAGAGAGTGTCTAAGCGAGGCTTTAAGTCTTTGTTGGCAGTACCACCTGCAGGAAGACGACGTGGAACGCAGTCGGAGTCGGCGCGACCAGGAGGGCCAGGATGTCCACAGTGTCATATCATCCGATATGTCCTATCCCGGCGGCTAGACATCCGGCATTCAGCCGGATCCAGCCAACGCGCCAGCGTGTCCCAGAGAGCAACCCGTGGGTGAAACCACGAGCTCCAATCAACCCATTTCCACGTCCGTATCCGGTTCGCGTTCCGTGGAGAGCCCGTTGGAGTTCTGTGCCATCTGGAGTGTGGTGCGAGTGTAGTCCAGCGGCTCCACGCCGATGTCCTCGTACTCGTGCTTTTCGCCAAGCGGACAGAGTCCAACCTCGTCCTCGTCGATCGCATCGGCGGCTGAGCCCTCGGCCTCCTCCTCCGCATCGCTCCAGTCCTCGGCCACCTCCACGTTGACGGGCAGGTACATGTGGAAGGGGCGTTGCTCCCGCAGCCACGGTGTCAAGAAGATGTGGCTGGCGGTCATGCGCTCCGTGAAATCTTTTCGCAGCAGTGACAGCAAGAGCCAGCGCACCGACTTTGACAGCGTCATGGGGATCTGCACGTTGCCGTGCCGGATCACGGTGATGAGGTTGCAGTTGGCCTTCTCGTAGAAAGGATACTGACCCACCAGCATCGTGTAGAGGATTACGCCCAGCGACCACATATCCGCAGGTTTACCCTTGTACGTCGGCTGGGGGCAAAGAAGTTCCGGAGCGGTGTAAAGCGGGCATCCGATTTTGTCGCTCAGAGTGTCGTCATCGCCGTCGAGTATCATTGAGCCTTCTAACGATTCATACTGTAGTTTGGTTCTGTAATAGAAAAGGAAAAAATTCCAATAAAAGTTTCAATCATGGGTAAGTTTTCTTAATTTTAATTCTTTAAGTCTTGGGATACATTTTATAACAATCATTGCCGGTATTTGTTTTAGGTTAATTTAAATTATTATCAAAAGATTTTTTAATTCCAAATCTAAACTGATAAATAGTTTTCAGAATTTAGAAATGCCAAAATTTG